AAATGTTTACAGATTCTTGGTTGAAGACACAACGTAAATATCTATTCCAATTATAGACAGGACAGATCCTACTGAAATAGACGCCTGAGCTCTAAAGTATATTGTGCGTAATGGAATTGGATGTAATTAATTCACTGTCATTTGCTGAAGCTGGAGATAAGGATGTGATTTTCTTTGGCACAGAAGTATTTACTCAGAGAACTCAGGTTATGCCCTATGGCAGCTTCAGGTTCTTGCAAAATTCCAGCATTTTTTGACACTCTTGTTTGCTTTAATGGGCAACTGGGGACCTTAGATTTCTAGACGCTGCTGTGAGAACATTTAAATTAGTCAATCAAGCTTTTCAACAGAAATTCTGAAGCTCTCACAGATTCACTATCTGTGCAAAAGTAGCATCTTGTGGTCAATTCCAGTAATTAGCTCCTCTGTTGGTAGGACTTGGGAGACACAGTGAGATTTTTGTAAAAGTTTTATCTGAAAATTTTATTACTTAGCTTAGCACTCATTTTTTAATAATTTCAAACAACTTTTAGAAGTTTGCCACACCCAAAGGGTGCAAACTGGGCTGCCCTTCAAAAAAGCACTCTTAAAACTACTTAAGAGAATTGAAAGAATATTCTGTACAAGGATATTATTGCTGGTATGATCTAGTGTTTTCAAGGGCACTTTCTCAAATGAGGATAAAATGGTAACAGTTATCTAAATGTTACTCCTTTTATTAAAAACAATCTTAACTTATTTTAAATCTGTCATATTAAATAATTAATATTGTGATTGCGTGATGAATTCAAGAAAATAAAGTCTTCTGCAGTAGTGACAGCACAGACTGCCATCCCTGGGTCCTTCGGCATGAGTGGCACACGTGTCCTTCCACACCAGTTTCCTCCTGAATCTCTAGTTCTAATTTCTGCAAATGTAGAATTAGACGAGCATACCTAAATTTATTTTTCACTCCAAGCCAAGCCTCACACTTATCATAACAAATAAACAAGTGAGAGTTTTCACTCTTACTCTTCACAGGCAGAAGTGAATGGTGTAGATTCATCCAATCTTGGCAGGAGAGCACAAGGCAAGCTGTAATAATACAGCTGCTGAGAGGTACACAAAGTCTACTCATGATTTAGCGGAGAGTAAATGGTGAAATTGAAAATTTGACTGAAATAAACTACTTAAGAAGGAAATGCTCTCACTCAATGGTTTTTGTATATTAAAACATTTTGATTATTATCTTTATTTTAAAAGATTTTTCTGGAGTTTAAAGGAGTTATTTCATATTTTTTATCCATTTTAAATTGCTGTGTAATGTTTGTAATAGCAAAAAATTGGAAGCAACTTAAATTTCCAACAAGAAAAGCGTGGTGGAATATATCTGTAGTATATATATATATATATAATATATATATTATATATATACATATTTATATTATATATCTGAGAGCTCAAACTTGAGAAGAAACAAACATCTGAATCCTTTGCCCACTGTGCCTTATCTGTGTTTTTTTGTTGGATAACAAATCCTCATAAGCTACAAAGTTCTTTGTAAAAGAAAAATAACAGAAGCTATTCCGTGCATCCATCATGGGTTAAAATAAGAGAATGCAGCATGACCTATCCAGTGATTCCACATGGTAGATGTTCATGGTCAGTTAATTTCCTTGTTTCCAGTGGATGGAATGTTATAGTGGAGAAAAATAAATTTTGGATCAGTCTGATCATCTTACAAAGTTGAATGATATTAACAATACCAGAATTACATCGTTATCATCATCACATCTTTACTACCCTTGCTATTATTATTAATGTTTTTTAAAGCCATGGCATTGTTCCAGAAGGTACAAATACTCCTATGTCCTCTAAGTTTCCCACCCATGTATCGTCATACTTTTCTACTGTAGGACAGGCTTCTCAGGCGGGAAAGAGCTCAGTGTGGCATCTAAAAATCAATTCCAAGGCTTCAACTCTTGCTCACACATGGATATACATAAACAGGGACCATCTTGGTTCAGTAATTTAGGGACAGCCTTTCAAAAGGAGACAGACAGACACTAATTTAATTTGTGGGAAAGCCCATTTTCACAAGTCTCTAAACAGCACAGGTGTTAGAATTACTACTGCTAGTGATTATTAACCAGGAGCAAAGCAGATAGCTCTGCTTTCATTTTGGAAAATATCTGCCTTTTAATATTTAAAAAGGTCAATTTTGGTCAACTTCAAAAAAGATGAAGTAAAAAGATCAGGACTCTCAGAACAATGATAAAAATATTTCCATATAAAGATATAAACTTGCCAGGCATGGTGGCACATGCCTGTAACCCCGACACTTGGGAGGCTGAGACAAAAGGATCTACACAAGTTTGAGGCCAGCCTGGGCTACATAGTGAGTTCAAGGCTAGCCTGAACTGCACAGCAAGGTCCTATCTCAAAAAGAAAAAAAAAAAAAAAAAAAAAAAAAAAAAAACCAATAAATTAAATAAAAAATAAATAAGGATACAAATTTAAATCAGTCTTCCTTCAGGAGAACTGAACTCTGGAATGCCTGCATTCCGAGAATCTTCTTCAGCACAAGGTCCAAGGTATCCCGTACATGGGCTCTACTGGTGATACTAGGACTTTCATTTGCCTGCATGCTGCCTCCTCCTCTCTGGATGGAGAGATTGGAAAATATAAAACCCTCAGGTGGACACAGCCCAGCAAGAAAGGAATTTTCACTCTCCACCCCTGCTCTCTAGGCAGGAAGCCAAGATTACTCAGAAGGGACTGCCTCCCTTTTCTTCCCATTTCTCACAGCATGAAATGAGAGCCAAGTCATCCTTCATCTGGGGGTTAGATAATTGGATAATGATGGACTGAGAGCGCAATCTCCTCCTCCAATTGGCACAGCATAAAGATTTCATCTTGTGTGCAGTCCAGCCTAGGCCCTGGTTGCTGGACTGCTTCAGACTGATCCAGGCGCAGCAGAGAGCAGCGGGCAGGTTGGCAGTGTACGCCAGTGGTTTTTACCGTGCCTTAAATATGCTGTCCTGGCCCAAGCCCTGCAAATCACCGAGTGTTAATTGTGCCATTAGCAAATGCAAGGCGCTGTGAGAGACGCTTTCCAAGCCTGCTCAAATATAAGTACCCTTGGGGGGTGTTTTTCTTAAAAATGGAGGTCTTTCAAAATTTTTCTGCAAAGTTATTTTAAAATACAAAAATTATTTATTATTGACAATCAGATTTCTTGGCTTCATCCTCAGAAGTACTAAATCAGAAGCTCCCCAAATGGCTATAATATGTCAGAGAGCTCCAAAACCGGTGTCTTTGAGGCGACCAGGATAACTCGTATTACAACCACTTTAAACACTCTTTAATTGGAACCCCACAAATGGCAAAATGCAGTGTACTTGTGGGTCATCAGATCAATTTTTATGGATCATGACCAAGATATATTTTTAAGTAAAATAGAGAAGTTTAAGGTGCACCACACCTACGAAAGTTACTTATTGCCTAATGAATCTTCTTTTGAGGTACAAACCTATATGTATATATCTTTAGATGCATATCTAGATCTCTATCAGCATTTATCTATTTATATGTCTATATCTGTATATTAGTATCTAGGAAGAGAAACTATGTGTGCATCACAATGAAAACATGTATGTTTTACTCCATGACAGCAGCCAGATACATGTGAAATTAAATGATCGAAAGTAAATGCTTCCCGCTGCACTTGTAGTGCCTCTTCACTATAAACTGCCAACTCTTCACTGTAAATTAGAAATTGGGCCTGCTCAGCCTTCCTTTCTCTTCCTTCAGAAGGTGACATTTCATTGCCATCTTTTCATGGACACATGTCATAATTCTCTGTTCAATGTCCTTCAAATTAATACATTGGATTTTAGTGTTAGAGTCCAAACAGATGGTGCTTTTATATTGTGAATGTTATCTAGTTATTCTTTCTTTACAGAGAAAAAGATGAGAGGAAATGGGTTTGCATGGCAGTTAGAAGGACTTCAGCCAGATATAATGAAAAATTTCCTGGTACCCATGACAGTACAGGTTACAGTGAGTCACAGGGAGTGTGAAATTTTGTACTCTGTAAGTCTGTGGGAATCAGATTCTTTTCTGTCTGGAATTCCATAGATGTAAGCCAGTCTGAAGGGCAGGGAGTGGTCTTCGAGGCCTACAGTGCCATTTTTGCCCCGCATAGCTGAGACATCGTTGTGAAACACCAAATACAGCTCCATAAGCCCAGCTGCATAAATGAGGAGCAATCGCGCTGCATACTGGAGCGGAAGCAGTAGTGAAACACAGGAGGGAGGTTTATTATTGTGCAGGTCAACCGTGCCTGGCAGGCTGGTTTAACATCCCCATAAGCCATTTCGTTTCTCTGGGTCTCGTTATTTCATTACCAGATGAAAATAGAATAATATGTTCCTCACAGTTATGGAAATAAAGTAAACATATGATCAGCCCCCCACAGGGCCTGACAAATATAAGAACTTAGTAACTTTAATATTACCTTTTCCTTTAAAATGTTAGACTCTGAGCAGTTTTTTAAGAGCCCTCATTCATAACAGAGTTCTTAGTTATGCCCTTGCCAATTATTTCTGAAACCAGAAATCTTTATTCCCAGTTTGACAAATATTCAGTCATGTTTTATTTTGGATTGGAAAGACACATTAGAATTTGGTCCCTCAGTCTCTCTCTCTCTCTCTCTCTCTCTCTCTCTCTCTCTCTCTTTCTTTCTCTCTCTCTTCTCTCTCAGCCTAAAACCCTTATTCTTATTCTTTCTTACACTGATGGAAATGTCAGGAGTGTTCCTCTTCTGCTTAGTGAAAGAGGGAAAGAAAATACACAGCGAAGATTATATACACATCATTTTTACTGGATGATAAGAATCAGTTCATTTTAGTAAGCTTTGTAAAAAATTTAGTTTAATAATCATCTTTTACTTCTCTCAGAAATTACTGGTCAAAATGCATCTGTTCAATATTTAAAAATTTTTTATATGTCTGTTGCAGAAATGCGACGCTGGATTCTTTCGCGCCTTCTCGGGAGAGTGTTTGCCCTGTGACTGTAACGGTAATTCCAACGAATGTTCTGATGGCTCTGGATTCTGTGTGGTAAGTTGGAGACACCCAGGAGCAAATTGCTAATCAAGGCTTTTCTCCCCGTTCAGTGTTTCCTGCAGAACATGTCAAATAAACGCCTTCTGATTCTGAGTGGCCACCAAGGCGTTGGCAGGAGCGGCACAAGCTGGAGGGGCTCCTGCCTCCCCACCTGGGTGGCTGGCCTCCTGCTGCAGGCCAGTGGTGATGGGACTGAAAATAATACACAGAGGAGAGAGCCATCCCTCCAGATTCCTCTGTAATAGTATAGTTTGCCATATGTTCAGCTTCATCCTATGTAAAGAAAGAGACTAAAACAGTTGTTGCATAGCCTATTATGGATTGTAAGATAATCACGTCTATAGGTCAAAATTAGTTAAAGAGGAAAAGACAGGTTTGAACCAAGTAGCCAGTGAAGAATATAGCATTGCCCATGTGGTCTTTGTAGTTCTATGTTCCAGCCCCAAAGAGGCTTTTTCCCTTAACTGAAATCAGTTTCCCAGCTGACTGTTTGTCAGGGAAGCATCATATCTTGATGAAAACTGAGAAGTGTTCTACCAAGCACTTGCTACATCGTTCTCATTGTCCCTGAAGGAACTGACGGCTTAGTAAAGATAGGCATTGAAATATTTGCAGAAGTAGCTTCCACAGAAGTCATAGGAGAGATTTTTAAGTTCTTTTACCCTAGTATCATGTTTTCTCTCATGAGCCGTATGATATGGCAGGAAAATTCAATTCTTAACATGGCAAAAGATCCTTTGTCAAATTTCAAGAGTAATTTCACTTGTGCTACAAGAATACTTCTTTCATACACTAAAGTGCCCCTCCTAAACAGATAAGGTTTATTTTAAATGGCTTCTAAGGTGTGTACCTGGTTTTGTTTTAGTTACACTCCACTTTAAGCTGCAAATTAGAGCCCTCATTTATTTTAAATCTAGAAGTTGTAATTTGTCTAGCGACAGAGAACTAAGTAGCAAAATACTAAATTTTGCTGTCTCTTTGTGGCGTTTATTTGGTCCTGATATTTGTTTTCCCCTCCCCCACATTCTTAAATAACCCTTATACCCAGGATGTCCTCCTCAGCAACGTAGGCACAAGCAGCTGCCAGTCTACCCCTTTCTAATGCTTCCATCTCCGGTTTCCTGTTATTTTAATCGCAATGACATTTTTTTAAAATCCATGCATACACTTGAACTAATAATGAACATCTCTGGTGATTTGACAAATTAAAGGCTCTTTGGTGTCTGGTTTATTAAACTATAAAACAGTAGGGACCAGCATGCCCATCAGCAGCCACTAAGCAACTGGTAAGACAAAAGACTGAATGAATGAAAGAGGACCAGAGTCCCTTCTGCTGCTGCCTGTCAAGAATAACGATGGTATCAGAGTAGGCGCCACCATGGTTTCATCTCTGACCTAGACATGAGCTTCTGAAAGGAGCAGTCAGTGTGAAATACGTCCCCAGTTTCTGGGACATATGGGTTCTAGTCCATACTTGAGGGTGAGTTAGGATTTCAAACACTTACGTACTCATCCAGAGAAGTTGCCAATCTTCCTGCAACTATTTCAATCCAAGACAAAAGATGCAAACAAAAAGTAATAGTCATTCTTTCATCTTTAATGATGTTTCTCCCATATTAACCTATCCAAATAGAAATATCTTTTTTCCATAATCACATTAACAAAAAACCTCATTGTGAAAAAAAAAAAAAATCTTAGATATACATGGTGTTTGAAATACAAAGTGAAAATTATCCACAACTCTATCTCCTAGAGAGGCATATATGTGTATTCTTTTAAATATGATTTTTAAAGAAAAAGATGTAAGTTGCATTTAATTAAAAGCAAATGAAGGAGGAGAAAAGGTTTGCAAATATACAAATAATATTTTGTCACTTATTTGGCAAATACATGAAGTCTATTCACAATGGAATCAAACTCATGTTTTTCCACTGCTTGGCATTTCTGTTCCAGCCCCAGTAGTGCAGACCTAGGTTTATTGGGTCCTATCTTGTGATTCCAGCTCATTTTTACTTCTCAAGTTGCCAGAAAAATAGAGACACCAACTCTAGCACTTTCTTGCAGCTTACTGTGATTGCTAGTATTTCAGTAAGCTTTTGTTTTGTTTTGTTTTGTTTTGCATGGTACTAGGGGTTGAACCCAGAACTCTCATGCTGTGTAATTCTCAATCCTTGTTTGAGACAATGTCTTGCTAAATCACTGGTTGCCCAGGCTAGGCTCAAACTTGCAATCCCCATGTCTCAGCCTCCTACAGTACTAGAATTATAGGTGTGCACCACCACACCCAGCTTCAGTCAGTTCTGGTAGGTTCCCCAACAGCTTATGTCTCCCAACAGCCATAAGTAAAAAAAAAGGAAGCCTTTCTTTTACTTTAATTTATCTTGTTCTGTTTTTATTTTCAAGACATCAAGAGTGCTTTATTTGCCTTGTTCACTCCCCCTTGCTTCTCATTTTTCCTATTTCATTATCAATTTGAATTGATGCACTGAAGGTTTAATTTATAGACTGATCCTAACTACTTGGTGAAGTAAGCCATTCAGCAACAAAATATGGAGTAGACCCAGTTATCATACTATTTTAGATATCAGACAAACAAAAAGACCTCTTCACTAGTGCAACACCAAGTTTTCAAATACCAAAATGTATAAATGGAGAATGGCTTAGAATTATATGATGCAGTGTATGCTTTCTAAGCATCCACTTTACATCATATCAGAAATGTAGCATCTTGGTCAAGGTTTTCAGCTGAGTTGGCTGGGTGGGACCCCGCTAAAGGCCAAGCAACTCTAGTCGATGCGACTGACTCTCTTGAACGGTTCTAGAGGGACACAGAAGATGGAAATTGCAAAGTAGGTGGAAGCAGACAGGTGGCTGGTGGCAGGAGTGCTTGGGCACAGCCAGTCCACATTTTATTGCAGCTGCAGAGGGTGGGTGACAGGGAACCAGGAAGGGGCTGAGTCAAGTCAGTCACCATGTAAAGCACTGAAGCTCCATGATTTGGAGAAAGCCAGTGGCTGGAAGGAGAGTGGAGCAAATTGTGACTTGAAATTCACCACTGGTAAAGGCTCCTCAGCCTCCTTTTGATTAAGGATTGATTTATCTATCGATTTAACCAATCTACCTGGCAAATACCTTTCGAGCATTACCTCTGTGCCAGACCCTCTTCCTGGCTTGAAATGAAATGTCTCCCACTGTGTGAGCTGAGGAGCTGTAGGAAATCATACCCACTGGAAAACGCTGGTGGATCTCACAACCCCTTGAAGCTCAAGGGGCCAGGAGCATTGGAGCTCTAGAAACATGTGCAGAAGTTTCTGTCCACTTGGGGACAATCAAAGAGAAAAGAGGTTCCAGGATTTGTGTCAACATTTCAAAAAAAATGTGTTTCCTAAATCTGAATCAAATATTCAAATTTTTAAAAGAGCTACAAAAATATAATTGAAATCTAAAAAGAGCACATGAAGCTGTTATATATTTATATCTGGCTGGTGATTTTATTGTTTCCTTTTCACTTTTGAATAATATATACTTGCCTACATTTTCTACAACTGCCTGTAGTAATTTTATGAATAAAAATATAGAAATAGTCAAATGGACTTTTCATCTCCCTAAACACAATGGAGAGGAAAGTAAACCAATAGAAAGCTAACCAAAACCCTACTCAAGAGAATAAAGTTGTATGTCTAATGTCTGCAGGTACTAACATTTTCCTCATTTTAAACTCTTCTGTAGTATGTGTGAAGGGCAGAAATCAACCATGTATATGTCTCTCTGAGACATATGAGCATGTGTGACCAAAAGCCTGCAGACTTATTTGGTGTTTCAGATGAAAAAGAAATTGAATATAGAGACCTCTTATTTGCAGTTATAAAATTGGTAGCTAAATCAAGTGCACAATCTGTATGTTAAAGTTCTGGCAATCTTTCAATCTATTGCAAATGGGAAAATCTGAACTTTTCCAAATAGCGATCAGCTTGGTTCTATCATAGCTAATATTCTAAAACAAAGTTGGAAAATGTATTACGTAAAGAATACTAAGGAAGGGTAGTTTGGTCAAATCTCACATTGCTTTGTGTCCAACAACGTAAGAATATTAACAGGAAAGGAAAGCAGGTCAGAAGTTCTCCATACATTGTGTACCCTCCCTGTGACAACCAGAACTTGTTCCTCCTCTTGTGTCCCCCACCCAGTTAATGACAGCACCGTTCTGCTGGGTCTCTGATGTTTGGAGACCCCAGATACCTCATTGGTTCCCATTTACTTATCCCTAACATCAGTTTGACTCCAAATCCTAAAGTCTGAACTAGAAGACAGCATCCTCCTCTCTATATCCTGCTGCTAGTACCTTACTTGAGGAGTAAGGTAGTAACCCCTTGTGACTGCTGCCCCAGCTTCCCAAATGTGTACTGTCCTTCCTCTAATTTGTCTCCTGACCACAATGAAGAAGTCTTCAAAAACACCTCCAAATCAGAGGATTCTTCTTTCTAAAATCCTCTGGGAGTTTCTGCTCCAACCACAATGAGCACACAACCACTTAAACCCACTCTGTGCTTTCACACTCTGTGCTATGGATTATTCCCAGGAGAGATTTCTTACAGGGTTACTTCAAAGCCTAGATCAAATGTTCACTTCCACTAAGCACCCAGCTCCTTCAAGAAGATCTAGAAGGTTCATTTCCTTCATCTTTAGCAGACATGTACTTTATACACACTTCAGTCATAGCTCTGAACACACAATATTAGTCTTGGTTTACCACTGTTTGTTTCACAAGTCTGTGAGCTCCTCAAAGGGAGGAAGGAAGTCTTTACGTTAACAGTTGCAGCTCATTCGTCAGACGGGCTAATATCTAGACTATATAAAGAACTCACAAAAATTAGACTCCTCCCAAAATAGAATGGCTTTCATCAACAAATCAAATAATAACAGATGCTTTGAGGCTACGGGGGTGGGGTGGGGAAGGAACCCTTCTGTGTTGATGGTGAGGATGTAAATTAGTACAAGCACTATGGAAATCAGTATGGCAATTCCTCAAAACACTAAAACCAGAAATTTTACTTGACCCACTATGCCTCTCCTAGTATCTTCCCAGAAGAATTAAAGATATCACATTAAGGCCAGGGATGTCACTCAGTGGCAAAGCACCTGCCTGCCAAGCACAGGGTCCTGAGTTTGATTCCTGGTACCAAAAAAAAAAAAGGAAACAGGGAAAAAATCACATTACAGTGATACATGTATGACCATGTTCATAGCAGCACAATTCAAAATAGCTAAACATTGGAAATGGCTTATATGCCCATCAACAGATGACTGGATTAAGAAAATGTGGCATTTATACACAGTGGAATACTATTCTGCCATCAAGAAGAATAAGTCTGAGTTGTTTGTAGGAAAATGGATGTACCTAACTTACTGTTTAGTGAAATAAATCACACACACAAGCTTAAATATTATATGGTTTCTCTTATAGGTGAAACCCACATATAGATAAAGAGCAAAATAAAAGATAGGTAATAGGAAAAAAGGAAGCTTCATAGAGGAGTTCTTGGTTTATTAATCAAAACAGATTTTATTTCTGTATTTTGTGGTGTTTGTACTATCTGACCACTTTTTAAAAGTATCTTTGCTATAGATGTCACAAACCAGTCTTCTCTCCCTGTTCATGATGTAAGTTTGTATTTTTGTCAATTAAATAAACCTTTGGATATGAAAAAATAAATATAAAAGCACAAAATAATAAGCGCAGCTCATTTTTCTACATGATAGATGCTTAATCCAGATTTGTTAAGTGAATGAATGCATTGATAACTAAAATAATAAAATAATCTAAGTGCAAACATCTTTAAATTTGTAATTTAAGGAATACTTGAGTTACTCCTTTATTGCAGTAAGATGTACTCTCTTGTGCTAAAGACTTGGGCTCAGGCTCAACCCTGGGCTTGTTCCATCTTTAAATGGAGTGAGTTTTATTTAAAGAGAAACTTTTCCCCACACTGAGAGAGACGGAGGCAGGAAAATAGTGAGTTCAAATGCTGCCTGGACAGCTTAACAAGACTCTGAAAATACAAAGTAAAATGATTTAGGGATATAGCTCAGTGGTATAGAACCCCAGGATTCAGTCTCAGTACTGCTAAATAATAAATAAGTAAATAAACTCCTCCCCACAGCAACATATTATTTATTGTTGTCATTTGTGTTTTCTCTTTTTTAAATAACAAAGTATGGAAGGTAAGGAGGAAGTTTGCAATCTCAGGGTAAAAGTTTTTCAGAGTAAGGAAAAACTGACAGGCCATCTAACCTAAATCTTCATTTTACAGGTGAGGGAATAGAGACCCACTAAGGTTTAGTGACTTGTTCAAAGTCAATCGGCTAGGACATTTAAGAGCTAAGGCTCTTTCTCCCTGTCTCCAGCACTTTCTTCTGACAAACTCCAGAATGTACACCAGTGGCTTCCAGGGAGTTTCATAACAACTCCTTAAAAAAAAAAAAGCAGATGAAGAAAATCAGCATTTGCACTCTGATCTTTGAGAGGCTGGAAGAGATTTGGTGGTTTGTCCTTGACGGTGATTGTTCCCTGTAGCTACCGCAGCAGAATTAAAGCTCTAAAAAGAAATTCAAAGTACCCATAAAGGGGCAGAACTGAGAATTAGATCATTTTGGATCTTACAAGCTGCTTCAGGCACAAACGATGGCCTAACATCTTACAGTGAGCCTGTTTCTTCTACACAGATGGGCTTCATCTGTCAATCAAGGGCTCAGTCAAACTTGACCCCAGTCTACAAGCGGCCCTGCCAGGTTGCTCATGGCTTAGGTTCATGGCAGTTGGGTAAGGCTCATTAGTTTTCCCTGGGATGACAGATTCCCATCAGTTTTGAGCATGCCTTTGGTGCATGTTAATTTTTTTACATGCTGCAGACACAGTTCACTGATTCATCTTTTTCTCCTTTCCCTTCATTTACTTCCCCAACAAATATTTCCTGAAGGCTAATACTAAGAACTGTAAGGGAAATATTTAAACAGTGTCATATCTGCATAGCATACTTTTTTTTCAAAGTTCTCATTGGTCTGACAGTCTGAACTAGCCCCTAAATTCTATGCTGACACAATTATAACCAGGGTCCATATGATCAAGTACTCAGAGAGTGTTCCATCAGGATAGTCTTTTGCCCACATTACGGTTCCTTCCTTTTGACTACTGTGTTGTTTTTCATTTAAAGTTCAAACTGTTAGTAAAATTCTATCAGTCGTTTTTCTGTTGCCAGGATAAAATGTCTGATGTACACAAATTAAAAGAGATGTTTTCATTGGCTCACAGTTCAAGAGGTTTCTGTCCACAGTCGACAGGCTTCAAGACAGAAACAGGACAGAAATGGCAGAGAGGATTAAAGCTGTCCACCTCATGGCAACCAGAAAGCAGAGTGAGAGGAAAAAGTCCAAGAGGAAGGAACCAGGACCAGCTATTCTGCAGGGTTATGCTCAGACACACCTAGAAATGTGCTTTACTAATCTCTTAGGCACCTTTTAAACGAATTGAATTGACAGCCAACATTAATCATCACAAAAATATTCTGATACCTTCTGATGCACTCTATGCTTGTTTTCTCTAGCAATTTTTAAGAAGCAGTACACTGAGATCTAGAGCCTTGGGCTGGGGATTTAGCTCAGCGGCACAGTGCCTGCCTGGCAAGTGCAAGGTCGTGAGTTTAATTCCTGGTACCAGAAGAAAAACAAATCAAAACAAAAAAAAAAGAGAGATCTAGAGCACAGTTGCGTGAATCTGTGTCACACTGGGCAATTTACTTAACCATCTGTACCTCTATCTCAATATAAGTAATATGGGGGCTGGGGATTTAGCTCAGCGGCAAAGCGCCTGCCTGGCAAGCGCAAGGTCTTGAGTTCGGTTCCCGGTACCGGAGAAAATCCAAAAAAAAAAAAAAATATAAGTAATATGGGAGAGAGGGAGACCTCCCTCAGGATTATTGCCAGAATGAAATTAGTTAATACACATAAAATGTTTAGAGAAGGATATGGCTATTCTTTTACTGTGAACCTCAATTAGCGTAAAAACAACAAACAGAAAAGCTCCGAGTTCAGCCTGCTGCTGCTCCATCTTTCTGTCTCCAAGAATTCTCCCCAGAGAACTACTTGAAAAAGCTGTTCTACTAAAGCTGTTGTGGAAAGGTGCTTTTAAGGCAATTGCTCAAATAGGTGGGCACTTCCTTGATGGAATTCTAATTCTAACAGTAAGATTTTCCACTAAAAACTCAACTCAACCTTTCTACACTCTGGCAACTGTAAAGATAAAAATATCACAGCATTAGCGGAGCTGGCTTGTGCCATCCCAACCAATCCCGTAGGAAGCTGTCTCTGTGTTGTCATTGCTTCCTCTTATAGAAATGAATCCATCAGCTCAGCAGCTCCTGAGGACTTGGCCATCCATGTTAATGGCAATACAGTACCAAAGATTCAGTGTATGGCGGAGGACAGGCTGAAGCTGGCAGTGGATAATAGGACAATGTAGGTAGGAGAGTAAGGAGGAACTTGGCAGGAAGAGTCAGGATTTTGTGGAAAGTTTAAAGCCTATGAAAATCTTGAATGAGGAAGCAGGTGTTCCAGACAGAAGAAGCATCCTGTGTTGTGTCTTTTTTTCTGTTTATTATATTTACCACAAATAGAAAAATCACGCAATCAACTACTTACCATTTCTTATGTATCATTATCAGGGACACGGACAATTAGCAGAATACTCTTCAGCTACCTTCTACTCCATTTAGGCCTAGTCTGACATATTTTGTTTGTTTATCCCCATAAATCTTTATTGTTCCCACGGCCTTGGGTAAGCACCAGGGAGATACTATTTTTCTATTTCATACTCATTCCAAAGCAGTAAGCTCATGCTTCCAGAACATCCAGAGTTTGTTCTTCCTGATTATATTTCAGAATTGGAATGAGGACTCTATGAATAGTCTCCTCTGCACATAAACTCTAAAAAGAGTCCCTGGGCTGCTAGCTCAGGGTGAAATCATGCACCCCTTACCTACACTTTCTAGCACTGACTGGGGTGGACGGGGCTCCTTTGTGTGGCTGCACGCCATCTATTATACTAGGTCTGCTGTCCCTTTATTTGAAGGGTTGTTTGGTTGCTACATTTGTTGTCTATAAATTTTTTCTGCTTCCTTGTCAAATTTCCTATCTTTTGTCTCTTAGAACTGCCAGCGGAACACCACAGGGGAGCACTGTGAAAAATGCCTGGATGGTTATATTGGGGATTCCATCAGAGAAGCACCTCATTCCTGCCAGCCATGCCCCTGTCCCTTGCCCCACCTGGCCAAGTAAGTCCTGAAGGAGAATGGTCTCTTCTAATGCTTATCCCCCGCTATTCCTTCTTTTCCTCTATTCAGAGTTCTGCGGGATTTTTTCCAAATTGAACACCTCATTTGAGATGAGGCTGAAGAAGATATCGGAAAGGTCTCTAATTGAAAACCACTTTGGGAGCAGCATCTGCCCTTGCAGTGTAGCTGATGACTGTGTCCCTCAACCCCTGGATTGTGTCAAATGGTCAGTGAAGTCTCCTAGTTTCATAGGCAAGGCCCGTCTCACCTTTTCTCAGCTATCCCTTGAACTGGTAATAGCAAGTCACAGCCTGGTAATCACGGAGCTCAGAACAGTGCTGTACTTGTAATTATCAGTGTATTAGAAAAGATACAACTCAAACACACAAGCAAGAAATGCACAAGAAAAAATGTAGCATGGGAGGCAGAAGGAGATTCCACAAAACTGTAAGAGCAGAAGCATCACTTACCACCCTCTCAGCACTGTCATGTACTCATCACGGAGGATCCTTGTCAGAGGTTCCTGTCACAGGCAGGATTGGTTACAGCACTGGCCTGTGGTGATCACACTTGATATCCAGCCTGACTCCCCTCCCTGGAGGTCTGGGGGAGGGTTGAAGAGCCCAGCCCTCTAGTTACATGATTGTTCTTCTGGAGACCAGCTCCTGCTCTAAGGGGGCACTGGGTCTCCTCATTAGCATGAACAGGTGTGACTGAAAGAGATAAAAGGTAATACTCACCCAGGAAACTTGAAGGTTATGGAAGCCCTGTGCTAGGAACCAGAGACAAAGACAAATTTATGTTTTATTTTTTTATTCTACCAAAGAGAAAGAAAAGCCAGCCTAATTTCTGTTTGGTCACACATGCCTGCATGATCTCAGATGAGTTAGTGTGTCTCTGTCTCTCTTTCTGTGAGATTTAGGATCAGGAGACTAGCATAATTTTGGTTCCATTCCTTGATTCCTTTCACCTGCACTGGATCTTAGCTTTTTCCTTAATAAGTAAGTCAAATCAAGGCCTAAGGATCTGCGCTGCAAGGTTGTAAGATTGGACAGAATAATATACGTGGAGTATTTGGGCTGGTGCCGTGCACATGGAAAGGTGTAAGGTAGATGGTGGCTTTACTGAACATACAGCATAGTATTTTTTCTAATACTTTTATTTTCTGTATGACATTTATCTAATTGATAGCTGTTGTGAACATTAAATTGCATAATACATATAAAGTGATTTAGAAGCCCATGTGCCTTTTACACACTCACACATATGCACACGCACATACACACACAATCATTCTCACATTTACTGATGAGAAAAGAGAGAAAGAAGATGCGGACCGGGTTTCCCCCTAATCATTCTCCTTAATTGAACACCAGTATTGCCTAACATTTCACCCAACAGCTTATAATGTATTTAAATCCTATATCAACCAGGTCAGACCTTTCGGAGCCCCGTCTTTCTTCAGAAACCATTGAAGTGGCTCAGACCTAGCTTTGTGATTCTTCATGTCTGCAAGGTAGATGGTACTGAGAATGTGTTTGGAAAACACAAACATTTAATAATCTGTTATTTCCACTCAAGAATGCCCTTAGCTTCATTTAGGTATAATCTTTAATTCTTTATTAATATTGTGTTCTCAAACATTCATCCTGGCCACATCTGGTGGGATGTTTACCACACTTGGCTTTTGCCATAGTAATTTTGTTAAATATATTTACCTCTAACATGCCAATGGCCAGTTTTGTTCATTTGCCCATATAAATAGAGATGCTGTATAGCATCATTGGCTCAGTAAAGATTTTATAAGCTTTCAGCTGCAATTTCTTTATATAGTAACATGAATTAGGAAGACAATCGCAGGTAGTTCCCATTGTATCATCATCTCACTTTTGTGCTTTTTGTCCCATTCACACGACAAATTTCTAAGTTATCGAATGTTAATGTCTTAAGATATGAGCCTTCTAGAGCATCATGGCCTCTGGACTGAGACATCTCATCCACAGACAATTGTGCAGTAAATTTATTGAGCACATATTTATGTCAGTATTTCTTGTACATTTATTATAAGCTACTCTTGTACCAGTCACTGTAACACAGCAATGTATAAAACAAAGTCTCAACTTCCTTAAAATAGGTCAAAATACAGTAACTTTTGACATTCCCACAACAAAGGGCTCTAGCTTTGAGCCACATGTGTGGAGTATTTTTGCTGAGCAAGAAGAGGTTCTGAGGACTACTGGCTCTTTCCAATAAAGGAAGCAGCAACTTGCCAGTTGGGGGATGAGTCTCCTATCCTGAGAAAAGGAGCAGCTTTCAAAGCCATGCAGAGATGGCATATTACCCAGGCTGTGTGTATGAGTAGATCGGGGCTCACTTCAGAAGCAGCTAAGGGACCTCAGGAGTCGCTCTAAAGTTAAGCACGTAGTCGCGGATAGGAGCACTCAAGCCTCTGTGGTACAGATTTGAGGTTGAGAAACCTGCTGAAAATGAACACATAAACAACATCCTGTGGGAGTGGGAGGAACTGGTATGGGAGTGAGGGACCTCAGATTTTGCAAGGTTTCCTTTGTCTGGCATTAAAGCTCTACTGTGGAGGAAACCGAGTGCGTCATGGACCTGAGCGCACTGGCACGGGTTCTGTAAGGTTCTCATCTCAAATATCACCCAGATAGCTTAAGTAAAGTCAAATGCCCCGTTGTCTCTTTTAGCATTTTTAAAAAGATTCATACTGCTGCTTTCTATAAAAATAAAATTGTTGGGACCTTTCAGAAAGGCACCTGGTGTGGAATCTGAGTTACACTTGCAAGATCCATGTGTTGAGCCTACAGTCCTGGGATTTGCATTTCCAGTTAACAATAGCCAGATCACAAAGCAGAGAAATAATGCTTAACGGAGTTGGGCAAACAAAGGTCTGAGCCTATTTTTCAAGCTCCCTAAGGGTTTTCCAAGAGTGAACATCAGCCTCCCGCTTGAAATGGGCACTGCAGTGGTCACAGCGGGCTGAGAAAGGCACAGTGTTCCCATTTTCCTGCCCAGTAGTAGAAGTTTTCCTAGAAAAAGTGTAAACAGCTAATGCTGATAAAAACAAAGATGAACCTCAGTGACTGCTCCTGCTTCTGAGTCTGCCGCGCGGAAACCAGTGGTCATGCCCAAGGACTATTTGCATGGAGTTCATTTATTTGTTTTGGGGCTGGCCAGACATCCTCCATGTCTACCAGTGGCTATGGTAAAAACTCCAGTTAAGGAAAATGTCATCTGTTTGAAACAGTCGGACACCAGCTAAAGGCAGACGGCTCCAGACGCCCTGGCAGATGTTTGTCTCGGAACCGTGGGCGGGCTGCTGGGTGGAACACCTTCAAAGCAAGATGCAAGAGGATTTGTCCCTCTTCTGGACTCAACTGACTGTTTCTTTAAGTTCACTGGAGGGATAAGAACAGTCAAAATAAAGTGGTGAAGCCCAAGAAAATGTTATTTCATTGGAATGCTGTTACCAAACTGTGAGAGAGAATAAACTGTGGGTATTGCCTTTCACTGAGAACATGTACTGTTTTCTGATTTTAAAATGTCATCAAACCAACAAACGCTTGTATTTGCTTTCCTTCAGAGGTCATTAGGGGAAGATTGCTGACACATGCAAGACTGTGAGCACCCAGGTCACACTTCATTAACTGCACAATACTTAAGCCAAAGCTAATTTAAAAGCTATTAAAATTTTTCACGTACACACACACACACACACACACACACACCCCTACACCAGGCACAAGTCATGCATTGTGGTAAAACTTTCCATACATTTCTCCTGCTTTAATAGTTGGGATAGCTATTTAATCTTTTGAGGCAGTGTTCTTATTAACCTTTCGTGCTATGTCTTAATATTTATTATCAGGGTAAGAGAAAGAGAAGCAGGGAAGAAAGAGGAGAAAGAGGAGGAAAAGAATACAAGGGCCCTCGTTGGCTAAAATCTTTTTATTGTGTGTCCTGTTTCTTGGTCAGTCCCTTCACTCTCGTTCCAAATCTTTAAGATACACACGAAAGAAATTAAGGTTGAGTAGAGAATGTGTAGTTTAGAAATGATTTCTCATCTTTGAAGAGGTCCAGCTGGATGTGGTGGTACATGCCTGTACTCCCTGCATTTGGCAGGTGGGTACAAGGATGACACATGTAAGACCAGCCTGAGCTACATAGCAAGACCTTACTCCAAAACAAAATAAATAAATACACAGAGAAGTAAATAAGGCCAGGGCAGAAAAATAATGGGAAAACTGTCAAATGTATATAAAATATAATGGGAATAAAAAGAAATTCTTACATAAAATGTATAATGGCAGGTAAACTGTATTTAATTTCTGGCTTTGAAGCATGTATCTTATCTTAGACTTGTATTGAAATGTTAATGTCCATATATATAAGTGAATATAAAATCTGAAATGCTAGAAATTCTCACTGCTTAAAAAAAAGGAAGTACTTCTATGAAATCAGTAGGATGTACCTAGGAAACCGTCCTCTCCACAGAGCAACATTGTCTGTCTAGGCCTGCTGGTCTAAATTTTCTTGAAAAGGAAGGATTGAATTTAAATAAATAAATGATCACAGCCATTAAAATTGAAGGAAGGCCAGGGTAGAAATGATCAAATCAAAAATTAAAATAATCTTTTCAGTGTTATATGGAATGGACTTCAAATGTTCATTTAAAATTCTAGTTTTGCAGAATCCTGCTATAGAAAAAATGGAGCTGTGCGGTGTATTTGTAAAGAAAACTATGCTGGACCTAACTGTGAAAGGTAGGTGAATAAAATTCTCCTCTTCCGTGTGGATCAAAAACAGCTTTCTGATATTTTACCCTTGTCAGTTCTGCCAGTGTTCTCCTTAGGAGGCTGTAAAGTGGATAAAGATAAAGAGAAGAGGATAGAGGGCCACATTTTAGACCCCTTGGGGGTACTTTCCCAATACTGCTATAAACTTACATTCCATTGGAGTCCAGGCAAGACCATATCTCAGAATAAACAGACCAGACCAGACCAGAAAAGAGGAAAGTGAGTCTGTGTCTGTTGAGAAGATTCTCTAGATGGTTTTGGAAATACTCCTTTCTCCACCATTGGGAAGCATGCTCTACTAAAGTAATGTCTCACACACACACACACACATATATATACACACTGTCATGAACTTTAGAAATCACAGTTTATGAAAAAGAAGAGGATGGATGCCAAGTACAACTCACTCCACAGAGACACCCGAGAGGAGAAGTGCAATGAGCTTTGCTGTGCAGTTTCTCAAATCTTCGCACCTTTGGTCCCCAAACCAGCAAAAATTATTCTTCTATGGAATATGTGCCAAAATTGAATTTCTACCCTTTGCTGCTGTTTATCAGACAGATTTTATTAGACTCAGACTCACTGAAATGGACTCCGATCTACTACTTCAGCATATTCTTGGAGGTGACATGACCCTGGAGGTGACATGACTTGCCCAAGCTCATAAACTCAGTTTCTTTGTTTTCTCCACTTAGTTCTGCTGCATTTCATCTCCATAGGATGTCTCCTGGTCTTCCACAAAAGAACACTCAAATTTTCTGTTCTGTAAGTTGGAACCTTGATCACAGTGAATACCTACTCTGAGTTACTTTGAGTTCCAAGACCATCTTTTTATGGTAGGTTCATTTTAGAGTGAGGCTTTCTGGGTAAATAAATGTGAATCTTCTATCTTCAATAGAGCAATAAATTGAAAAAAGTACTTACCTGTTATTTATTTCTTTATACTATCTCCTGAAAAATAAAGTCAATGAGAGTTTGGGTTTTCTGAGTCCTGTTTGGTATGTCCTCTTTAAAACTGCTCTGGTCTTTGCTAAATAGAAAGACTTGGACAGCTAAAGATGCCAACTTCCCACTGAATGACTTCCTGGTTTGATGTTTGCCATTTGCTCCACCTCTCAGCTGCTCAGTTTTCCAGGACAAAGATGCCTGTTGCTTAGTCTCCCAGAGAGGCCTTTGTATTTTTAACAGAAATGCCATTAACATTGGCCTCACCATTATGTTTAGACAGCTAAATGATACGCAGGTCCATAAAGACAAGGAGGGAAAGGCCTGAGGTGTAGTTAAACTTCTCTGACAGAACACTTGGGGAAACCCCCAAGCAAGAATCACAACATAGACCTGGGGCTTAAAAAGGGAGCGTTTAGATCCTGGCGTGGTGATGCATGCATGCCTGTCATCCCAGCACTCTGGGAGGCTAAAGCAGGCCAGTCAATGTTCAAGCCCAGTCTGGGCAACTTACTAGAGCTGAGGTCCTGCATGAATTTCACCTCTTAGAAGGGACTGACTGAGGTGACCAAATAAAATTGGTCTGAGAGGTGTTCATTGTGTATTTCCAGGAATACAGGACTTTGAGGCTGTGATTGGCTCATTTTCTGGCTCAGTGGGGGTCTGAGAGAATTGTCAATTGGCCAAGGATAGAGCTTTTCTCCTCAGGGTTCGAGGTTAAACTAACTGTCCTCTATTAAGGACAGAGCAGAATTGCTAATGGGTATCAGATGCCTTCAGTCAAAGGAGTTAATGGCCTGAATAGAGCCTTGCTGATCTAGTGGGAGGCCTAGAAAAGCAGAAGTAGCCTTGGGACTTGGCAGGAAGGACATCCCAGAGCACAGTGGTGCAGAGAAGAGTTCTGTCAGGAGCACTGGCCCCAACCGTGGCACAGGGGAGCAGTTCCTCCCCAGACATGGACCTGTGAATGATAAATCCCTGGCCCACATCGAAGGCTTGTGGGATCTGCCATTGCCCAGCAAGCTCGGGTCAGGTCTGGTGCTAATCAGACTCAGAAATGACAGTTTTAGAGGAACATTAGTCCGGGAAGTGGAAGATTTAGCATCACCCCTGTATCTTGGCTCTATCACTTTGTGTCCTTCCAGGCCAAGTGATTGACCTCTCTTTTGTGAGGTGATACTATAATGCTATCTAGGGCTGGGGATTTAGCTCAGCGGCAAAGCACCTGCCTGGCAAGCGCAAGGTCGTGAGTTCAGTTCCCGGTACCGGAGAAAAACCAAAAAAACAAAACAAAACATATAATGCTATCTGGCATTTAACAACTGCTCATGAATATTAATTGCTGGGAGTATGACTCACTGCGGTCACTGTCCAGCTTCCACCGGTGCAGTGTGTGCCTGCCACACACTCGGTTATCTTCTTGAATCTGTTTTCTTCGTTAGAAATTATGGTTTTGACTTGAATAATGTCACTTTTTAATTGTCTGCTATCTGTCCTTGGTATTTTACATTCCTCCTCTGTCAGCCTAAGAACCACCCTGAGAGGAGAGGGTCATGTTCTGTAACTTTGTTGATGAGCACACTGAGCCCAGGGAAGTGGTGGAACTTGTCTAAGGTCATGTCACTACTAAGGAACCGAACAGTTCAACTTATTAGTCTGGATCTTTGCCCTGTCTTCATAATGCTTTTCCCAAGTGCCTTCTTAAGCATCTTCTATTTTACAGGGTCTTAGACAGTTGATAACGTGACTCTATGATATGCAGGAGAACCATTGCTAATCTGCTAAAGGTCCCTTTGGCAAGAGGCTGCAACAACCAAGGGTGGAAAGGAAGCTCCCTTCTAAGTCTTTCCTCTGTGTAGCGAGGGTCAGTTTGAGCAACTCTCGCAGCTCTTTTTTTCTTCCACCCTCTCTCACATGCCCCCTATCCTTGCCTGTGAAAGGGAGAGTAGTGGGGTCTTCTATATCAAAGTTCTGTTTCACAGTTCAGGATGGAGAAGGTACCAGTGCAAATTCATGTAAAATACTGTCTCTTGTCTTCAAGGAACCTCAAGGCTAAGGGAGGAGACAAATTGAAAAGCCATTCAGTGCAAGGCAGAAAAAGTAAATGTTAAATAGAAAGGCAAGCAAAATCTACTCAAGATTGCAGTGAAAGAAGTGATTTCTTTTCCCTGGAGGAAGATCATCCAAAAGGAGGTGGCCTTAGCTGTTTTCTGATTTATGTTTGAACCTGACACTGAGGAAATTTTCATTTTGGGTTGAACAGGCAAGTTCTTTTGAGGCGTAAGTACCAGGAATCAAACTCAGGACCTCACCCTTACGAGGCAGGTGCTGCACCTCTGAGCTGTACCCGCAGCCTGAATGGACAAGTTCTTAAATTGTCTGAGTTAAGCCTCACCTAGTCTATGTTGTCAATGTATTGTTAAACTTGAACCTCTACTAGAGCTTTTCAAAACATGCAGCTGATTTATATGAATATCTATTTCAAACAAACGTAAAATATAATCCAGAAAAAGAACAGTGTACATCTTTTTTATACTTGGAGAAGATTTAATTAAGTGGTGGTGTCTTAATGTGTTTTCTGTGGTTATAATTCAATATCACAAACAGGGCAATTTATTTTAAAAGAAATTTATGTGTTATAGTTGTGGAGACTGAGAAGTTTGAGATTAAGCGCTGCATCTGGTGATACCATTCTTGTTCTGTGAACTCTGGAGAGTTCCAAGGTAGAACAGGACATCACTTGGCAAAACAAAGCAAACTAGCGAGAAAGAGTTCAATTTTGTAAAAAAGCACTCACCCCAGACTCATTCAGTGAATGGCACTGGAGGAAAAACAAAAGAGAAATAAGTAAGAAGAAGAGCTCCAAATTTCTGAAAACAAGTCTTTTGTCACAATCAATAATTTTTTTTTACAAACAACATATCTTACAGTTTTCTGTTTTGGGAAAAATATGATCACTAACTGAAATAACAAGGTATATAACCACAGCCTTTTTATTTACACTGTAAATTTATCAGTTCTGTTTTCTCTGGATAGATCAGGTCATCACTACTAGAAATGAGACTATGGAAAAAATAAGAACAGGTTAGTAGGTGCCAAGGCTTCAGGGCTAACACTACAGCCAGCTATTGGTCCTTTTGTGTCTTCGTCATAGCCCTTTGAGGACAGGGTTGTGCACATGTATAGTATTTTGTCATTCAATGTTATGATCATTGCTTTATTAGTTTCTTATGGCCAGACTTGTGGAGTGACAAGAGTATTAAACCTGGAGCCTCAGGAGGGGCTTGCGCCCTGCAGCAAAGAACAGATGATTTAATTTCTCACACCCTAGGTCCTTATCTTATATGAGGGGATTTGTTAGAAGCTATCAATAATTAAACTTTTATCTTCATTCTGTGACACCTGTAGGTTCTGAAGTTTGGGCTACCACTTCAGTATTGCCTCTGAACCTACCACAGAAAGACGGTCTTAGAACTCAAAGTAACTCAGAGTAGGTATTCACTGTGATCAAAGTTCCAACTTAGAGAACAGAAAATTTGAGTGTTCTTTTGTGGAAGACCAGGAGACATCCTATGGAGATGAAATGCAGTAGAACTAAGTGGAAAAAACAAGGACTGAGTTTATGAGCTTGGGCAAGTCATGTCACCTCCAGAGTCCAAGAATCCCAGGTATAAGTTGAAGTGGTAGATCGGAGTCCATTTCAGTAAGTCTGAGTCTAATAACATCTGTCTGATGAATAGCAGCAAAGGGTAGAAATTCAATTCGGGCACATATTCCATAGAAGAATAATTTATGCTGGTTTGGGGACCAAAGGTGCGAAGATTTGAGAAACTGCACAACAAAGCTCACTGCACTTCTCCTCTCGGGTGCCTCTGTGGAGTGTGTTGTACTTGCATCCATCCTCTTCTTTTTCATAGACTGTGATTTCTAAGGTTCATAATATTGTGTATATATAATTAGGTTAAATTCATTTCCTGTTCTTTCACAGCACTGGCTATGTGTGTTTCCCCTTCCTGTCTCCTTCTGTCCCTTATATAAAGTGGGCATAAATTGTTCCCTTGTTGGATGAATTTACACATTCATTCATAGCAGCAGCAGTGTGGTCCAGCTTTGAGCAAAAGAAAGAACATCAGGGCTGGAAGGTCTAGGTCTTGCACTGTAACTTCTTAGCTATGTGACCCTGGAAAATTGAGGAAGCCTCTCAGTGTTAGAATGCCAACCTGTGTGGCCTTTCTCCCAGATGGCAGTGGTGGCTAAACAATCTCACACTGGTAAAACTATGAGCTATAACGCAAGCAGAAGGTATAAAGACTGAATACACTAGACCTTCACTACAACTGTATCCCTCCAAAAAATGAAATATTAAAGAAAAGTTGAGAAAGCACACATGAAATGTCGAGCAGTCATTTTGTTAGAGTCCTGGGGTTGGTTACAGTTGTGGTGTTTGGTTTGGTTTTTCATTTTGTGTTTTAAATGTTTTGAGTCATGTTTCTTTTACTTTAAAGGGAAGCCTTGTACAAATTCAGTGTCTTATTATTACTGGCTGGGCTTGCTGACTTCCTTGGAAAGCCCTCCCTTCCTTTCCACTCCCAAGGCCAGGCCCCAACCCAAGCCCTCCACACCCCACCCTGGCCTCCCTGTTCCACCCTGGAGACTGTCCTGCACTCTGAGGCCAACACTAGCTTCCTTCACCTCACCAGCTCTTTCTTTTTCCGTTCATATCAGAGCTAGCTCCTCTGCATCGTGGTGTGACTAAGTGTTCCTTCCAGCCACTCCTGTATGTCTTCTGCTCCAGCAGGCCTGTCTTCTTACACTAGTGAGGGCTCCATAGCAAAAGAGATTACATAATCAGCTAGGAAAAGTCTATGATTTGACCTGCTCGGTGTTTTCTCAAAGTTTGGCCCAGCCTCTAAAACTGCAATTTCACATAAAAATTGAAGTTTTTACTTTTATCTTCCAAAAATAGGATTATCCAATAACACTAGCCCTTCATTGTCCGGTGGCTACTTTCTGGTAACAGTGGACTGGACGCTAGTCGCAGCTTCTGCCGTAAATGGGACCTGCAGTCTCAACCCTCACAGCAGGGTCTCTGCTGGTACCTCTGGGACAGTAGAAAGAACATCAGGGTCTCTGCTGGTACCTCTGGGACAGGGATTCTTCACTCTGGGCAGAGGCAGCAGCACCCAGAGTGTACAAGTTGGCAAGGAGAGTGACGAAAGCTGGATAGATTTCAGTCTCTACTCTCCAACCCAGCTGGGCTCCCTCTTTAAGGGAGCTGCCAGTTTGACCATACACACTGGCTCTGCCTCCTTAACACAGGTATGTACCTTGTCTCCACAAGCTCCCCTATCTAGAACATCCAAAAGAATGGCAGTCTTGGCTTCAGCTGATTATTTGTGGTATTCTCAGCTCTGCTGCGTGCTTTCTTTCCATACTGGCTTCGCTCAGTCACAAGATGGCAGCCAGCAACTAAGAGTGTTGCCTGCTGCCTCTTCATTTACCTGAAGGTGAACAGAATGCCGTTCTATGACCTTCAAACAAGAGTCTAAGCTGCAATCTAATTGAATCACTCTGGAGCCAATCCCTTTTGGACAAGATAATGCTCAGCACTGACTGGCTGAGGCTTAGTTACTTGAACAATTCATTACTGCAAGACGACAGTTATTCAGACCACTTTCTCAATAGAGATGTCGTAACATTTTGGCCAGGACATTTTTCAGCCCTGCCCCACTGGTGCATCTCATTGCAGCACATTTAACAAATATGGCCCCAGCCATCGTATGTACCTGTCCACACAGATCCCTGGGATGATCAGCAATGCCGCATATACTAATTGAATCCCGACACTCCTACCTATAGGTCCTGGCTGAAAGGTTTACAACACAATGAAAAGGTTTGGTTCCTTAACGACAAAGTCTAGTCCTACTAAAAAAATGGAAGAGAAGCAATGGATTTTTGTTGGACAATGTACTACACCTTTCTTCTATTTAGGAAGAAAAAAAATTTTTAAGTAGAAAAAGGAATAACAACTATGGCTGCCAAATATTTAACATGCTTATCACCCTTCAGGTGTGCTCCTGGTTACTATGGAAACCCCTTACTCATCGGAAGCACCTGTAGGAAATGTGACTGCAGTGGAAATTCGGATCCCAATCTGATTTTTGAAGATTGTGATGAAGTTACTGGCCAGTGTAGGAATTGCTTACGCAACACCACAGGATTCAAGTGTGAGCGCTGTGCTCCCGGTTACTATGGGGACGCCAGGACTGCCAAGAATTGTGCAGGTACAGTGTTATAAATGCTAAGACAGCTGTCAAGCCAGTATGACCCTCTGTCAATATGAAATTCAGATCAAGAATTTATCTTGGGAAAGTATTGCCAGTGCCCCCTTGTCATTTTCCCAGGCAAAGTATATTCTCAGCAATGTGCATCCAAGCTCACCAGGGTTAGAAATTTTTATCAGGGCTGCTAATGTGACCTAGATCGTGGACAGAATGAAATTCACAGATGAATGAAATTTTGTCTTATCATTTTAATCTTTCCAATATTAATCAAAGGTATAAATAAAGCCTTAACGGATGATCTATCATTGACCAGAGGACTGAACGAAATCTAGCATGGTTTAAATCAGTTTTTTTATTCTGGGAGCCCTATCTCCTCTCTCACTTACATTAAGACTGACATTTCAGTGAAGTGGATTAGCAAGCCAAGGTGCAGTCTAATCACTCCCAGCCTCATTTCCTCAAATTGTCAGAGTAACTGTTTCAGTGATAGAATAAGAAATCTTCCTGCCCAGACTTCAGTTAGACTGAAAACATTTTATTCGTGTATTCTCCAACCCATTTGTCGCAAAGAGTGAAACTCCTCAGAAGTGAAGTTAAATTGCTTTCCTCTAGGAGTAAGAAGGGTAGAGACTGAGTATTCCTCACTCTTAGTGCCGCTGAGGAAGGCAGGGAGAGAAAGAGGTATGAGCTCTTTAGCGGCATCATGCTCTAAAAGACAGATTATTTCTTCTGTAGAAAATCAACTTCCTGATGCAGACTCCCATTTGGGAAGACTTAAGAATCAGATAAATTGGAGGAAGGTGCACACGTGATCTACACAAGTCACAATAAGAGTAAACTCCCTTAAAAGAAAGCAGTGCCCCAAGAGCCCCAACATGGAAAATGAGAGCAGGAAGAGGGAGCCCTGTGTCTCGTTAGGCTGGACAGGGGATCAGAAAGAGCTTTGGGGAGACCAGCACTTGAGCGGGTGACACCCCATCTCAAAGCTGCGATGCTGTGTGTTTAAATGACAAAGATGCGGAGCACTCTTACAAGAGAAACCAGTAGGGAATAATAAAGGATAATCTTGCTGAATGGTAGCATGTGTATTTTGTGGAACATTACATAGTAAAATATAATGAATGGATCTATCTCTTCAAGCTAACTTTGTTTTGTAAAGGCAGGTAAGAGATGAGGAAAAAACTCACAATTTTATTCCAGTTTATTGCTACCAGATATAGCTTTGGAATTCCTCTTTAAATACAGTATTACAAGTCAATTCCACACAAAGCCAGAGGGCCTGGGGTGTAGCTCAGGGGTGGAGTATGTGTGCAGCCCTAGGTTCAATCCTTAGCACCAAAACAAAGCACAGCAAAATGAAAACTCAGTGGAAAATGAACAGTCTGATGAAATTGGGTTTTGATTTTTGTTTCTTCCAAAAGGCATTATTGAAAACCATCAGCAAATGACTGATGGGCTCTCCGGTCTTTTAAATTTATGTAAATATGCTCCCGATGCCTTCCCTGACATTATTCGGAGCCATCCCACTGATTGCTATCATTTGGAGGCTCAAGCCTCTCTTGCCAAGGGTCAAGCACTTGGGAGCCAAGAATCACTTTTGGGCCTCCTCACTCGCTCCTCTCGGGACTGCTGCTCCCTCACATCTGGCAGCAACCAACCCTGGAGTTGGATTCAACTGGAGACTCCATCTGGGATGAAAAGATAGTTTTCAACTTCAAGTTGAATACTGAGCCCGGTGGCCATTTAGTATCATGTGAAATTTACCAGGATCTTTGTGGATTCAGGTTCTTGCCTAATGACAGAATCCCATAGAGTTGGGAGAGGACACCTGGAAAATTTAGATTCAGTTTTGCCTTAGGGTCACCTTTGGAAATATCACTTGCCAGAACTGAACTGAGTGAGGAGTATACTCCCTGTATCACAGACCACACAATCTTAAGGACGAATATAATTCCCAGTGAAAAATGACACACTCCTGACCGTATTTCTAGACGTGATGAAAATATTATCCTGTTACACATGAAGAGATGATGCCTTAATCTCTTGTTCCTGTTTCCTACAGTGTGCAATTGTGGAGGAGGCCCGTGTGACAGCGTAAGCGGAGAATGTCTGGAAGGTTTTGAACTCTCTACAGGCATGGACTGCCCAACCATAAGTAAAAATAACAGTACATGATTGACTAACCCCACTTCCTCTAACGTTCTGAGGGCTGGGACTAAGAAGAGCTATGTGATACTGTTTGTTCTAGAAACTGCTTCAGTCCCACCCCTGGATTTAACTCGCAAACAAAAAGATCCTGCACAAAGCTACTTGGTGGTCCACTTGATTCCGATCAGCAGCTAGGCGTTTTGCATTTATGTAGCTCTATTTTTGAAAACTTATTTATCAAGTCTTCACACTGGCCGTCTTGCCCAGTGATTAAAGACCAAGTCATAAATGCAGCTGCACATGGTGTAGCTCCCTTCGCTCCTATTTATGCATTGTTTCTCCAGGTCACGAGATCATGCAGTGCACAGACAGTGCTCTACAGCATGTAGTGTAACTGAGAGACGTCAAGGGTCTTAGGTGGCTTTCCCACGGCACTCTGAATCTGAAGTAAGATCAGAAATAAAAAATTGAGTCATTACAAAATGGTGCTGCCTCCTCTCTTCCCGGGGTTGCTCTATTGCTTCTATTCAAACCATGAGCAGTTATGCTAGAAAGAAAACTTTGGTTTAAAGATGATTTTAGCATTAGCATCTTCTTTCCCAAATGAAAGTATGTTGATTTTACAGTCCCTCTGGGTAGAAGAAATTGATGCCAGTGCATAACATCTTAGAAGATGGCACAGGATGTGCAGTACAAGCGGGGCAGAGTTTACATAATGATCAAACAGATGGTCCCTGGCCAGGTCTATTTAAGGAGCTCAAGATCCATGTCTGACCCTAAACATCAGGTGCTTGATGTGCTGACTGGGGACTCATTCCTTGAGAGAGTTTGTAAGACCACATTAACCTTCAAATAACAAATTAACATATTAACAACCATTAACCCTTTAGTCTCTGTTTACCAATTCTCTAAGAGAGCACAGCCTGAGAGAAAAAGCCTGGGAACTGGCAAGTTGTTAAGGGGGGTAGGGTAGGGGGATGGGGGATTCAAGATGAGTTTCAAAGTTTTGTGTGCCCTCGTCATCTTAGGAGGGCACTGGGTCCCAGCCAATGATCACGGCAATCAGAAGGCAAATATGAAAGGGGAGGTGCAGTAAGAAACTGGGACCTGCCTCCCAAGGGCCCTGGTTCAGCCCAAACTTTCCATAGCATCAGCTTGAGAGTTCAGAACATGACGTTTGCAGTGTCGCCTTGCACACCACCTCCTGCTAAAGTATCCATCCTGGGGGCTGGGACTTTAGCTCAGTGGCACAGCGCCTGCCTGGCAAGCCAAGGTCGTGAGTTTGATTCCTGGTACCGGGAAAAAAACAAACCAAAAACAGTATCCATCCTGATAAGAAGTGGGGTCTGAAGAGGACCAGCTGGAAGCCCCTGATTGCTGACTGAGAAAGACTAGCAAAGAAACATGCCCAGGCATCACCAACTGACACCAAACAAAAAACCCAGGCCTGAGCAGAGTAGAATCATCCCAGAGGGACCTTCTCCTTCCTCACCCTGCCCACAGTTGGCTTATCTATTTGTGCTTCTTTTTCACTGCAGCACATGGTGTTCATGTTAACCTACTTTCCCTGTTGCCTGTGGTTTTTATTATGTTTTAAGTGGGGGTAGTGCCCAATGCATCGTTTGGCTCCTGTAAGGACTAGCTTTATGGCCTGCAGCAACTCCTCAGGAAACAAAAATACAAATGGTATTAACCGAAGAAGCACACATGCATAGTTACTTAAAACAAAATGCTTCCAAGCTGACTTTTGGTTCTGAAGAAATGACAGGCCCATCTCTCCTGCAGGCTGCGATAAGTGCGTCTGGGACCTGACTGACGACCTGCGCTTGGCGGCACTCTCCATTGAAGAGAGCAAATCCGGGCTGCTGAGTGTGTCATCCGGTGCCGCTGCGCACAGACACGTGAACGGAATGAACTCCACCATCCACCTCCTCAAAGTATGCAGGGCGTTGAAACTTCCACTGTTTTCATGCTGGCTTCACAGGGTTCTAGTAACTTCTGTGCACTGTGGTATCTGGGACAGGACTTGTGGGTTTAACATATGAAACACTCAGCTTCACAGGAAATTATGAACAAATTGTAATCAGCAAGTTCAGCTTTACGCAAGAGTTGCCATCTATTAAAAAAAAAGTTTATATAAAAAAGCAATCACCAAAAGACTCTATGTATGTAAAAAATTATTGAGTGAAAAGTTTCCTTTGTGAAAACTGTACACTAATTGATTCATTACCACAAACTTACCTTTACCTAAGCTCCAGTATGCAAGATTTTGAAGTTTCTCTAGAAACTTCCTTCTCTCTTTTTCTTTCTGCCACGTTTCCTTCTCATTTACACATGTTCTGTCTTGATTTCTGAAGTTCACACGTGCTCAAACACACAAACACATATGCTGCCCTCTCTCCATAGCTATATCTAACAAAGAAGCTTATAGCAGGGCACATAAAAATAGTAGCTTATCACAGTCCTTGCATCTCTAAACTTTGTGAAACTTCTCCCCCACAAATCATGGGCTTCTATCACAACCAGCAGATACTTTTACAAACAATTTAGCTAGCTGAAAGAACACAAGGAAACTGCTCTACATTGTCCGTCAAGTTAATATACCAGTTAAGAGCATAAACTTTGAGATTAGATTACTGTGTTTATGTCCCAGCTCTGACACTTACTATGACCTTGAGCAAGTTATTCAACTTCTTCATTCTTCAGTGTCCTCCTTCAGTGTAAGGAAATGAGGACAGTTATTGCACCTATTTCATAGACAGTTAAGAGAACTCAGTGAATTGATATATGTAAAAAATTTTAAATGGTACCTGACATAGTACATGCTCATTATGTTTTTGGAGGTACAAACGATATCCACACCAAATAACCAAAAATATGGAATGTAAACCAAATCAAACATCATTAAATTGTAGCAGTGGATAGAATCTTAGTGAGCATTCTATCACTAATGTAGCAATCATTCTTGTCTCAATGCCCCTGCTTGGACACATGAGGACACTGATTCTCAGAAGAGTCTCCCAGGCCTGGACCTCTCAATAGACCTCCACTCCCACCTCCTCAAAGGCACATTCAAGATGGGTGTTGCCATATCTGGCTGCAAGTCATTGTCAGGATTGAAGGGCTTAATCCATATTATTCCAGGAAAGTTACATTTATAATAAACTCAAAAATGTAAAAGAAGGGGACACTGGCTTAAAATAAATAGAATACCTCTCTTTCCACCAAAAGAAGAAAAGTGAATTTCTGAAGTCTATTTTCATTAATCCTGTGAGGAGATCAGTTCTTCCAAGGCCTGGCCACACTGAAAATATAACTTAGATACCCAGGACCACCCCTGACCTACATTATGCCTTTGTGCAATTGGAAAAAAGTGCCTTTTGCCTATGCCAGGGTCATCAGCCTAGTCAGTGGATCTCTCAGACTTCCATGGCCCAGACTCCATCCTCTCCTATGGATCCACCCTTTACAACAGCCTGCAGCACCCTGTAAACCCCACTATTTATTAGAAAAGTTATACTATCCTAAATCTTCCTATACTGAAAAAGCTTTATGCATATCTCTAAAACTTTGATGTGCACAGCTGTGGATAATTTGTGAAACACTTTTCTTTCCACAGACAAAATTGTCAGAAAGAGAAAACCAGTACATCCTGAGAAAGATACAAATCAATAATGCTGAGAACACAATGAAAAGCCTTCTATCTGATGTGGAAGAATTGGCTGAGAAGGTATGTGTTCAGTTTCTGGGACCATATTTAAAGAAAAGATTTATTAGATGCATTAGTCAGATTTCCCATTGCTGGATCAAAATATCCTACAGCAGCAATTTAAAAGAGGAGAAGTTTAACTTGACTCATGGTTTAGGGGAATTCAGTCCAGGGACAGCAAGCTCTAAGGCAGGAGCATTATGACATAAGGGTGTGGTGGAGGAACACTCCTCAACCTGTGGAGCCTCTGACAAGAATATACCCTTCCAGGTCACACCCCCAAAGGACCTCCCTCCTCTGCCCAGGTCATACTTTGGAACATAAGACTTTTGGGGGACAGTTTGGATTTTAATCATAAAACTGGTACTATCTAAACCTTATAGTCACAAATGTCTGAAGAACCTGAATACAGCCAAAAAAATTGCAGTGACCTATGTTCCTTAAAATAAATCAAGGCTGGATCCATGGAGAGAGTTAACAAACAACATCTCTACTGTCTCTTCCCATTTTGATTGGTTTCTTGAATAACTATGCTTACATAGAACTTTCTAGGTATTGGTGCTTGTTAATACAGTTGGTGCATATTGCGATTAGAATACTTACTCAGCTATTTGCCTTAGCCTTTTATGAGTAAGAGCTATAGATCATCCAGAAATATACTTCATTACATACAATATATAATTTAAGTGTTAAAGAATATAGGAAATGATAAAAGGCAAGAGTGGAATTATTTCTGAGAAAGCAACTGTGCAGGTTAGCAGAAACAAAGCCACTCTCAACCCTCACTTTCCAGTATAGATTGAAATACATTCCAGACAGATTAAAGACCTGAGGATAAATCTCAAATTCACAAGAAAATATAACTAAATAATTGCTAATCCTCAAAACGAAATAACAATACACTTAAACACAAGGTGAAGAATTATAATAAAAAGAGATGGTGAATTTGACCAGAGAAAAATTCCAAACACCTAAGAAACAACTAAATACACAAAAATAGTCAAATAGATTAAGAAAAAACATTGAGGGGACCATGACTTATAAAAGCTCTAGGCGATTAACAAGGAAAACATTAAAACATGCACAGAGTCAATGCTGGACACAATCTAATACACTCCCCAAGAATCTAGTGGAAAATTACCCATCCGTCCTCCACACCAGTCAAAAAATGCAAACACATAACAAGACACCATATTTGTCATATAAAATATGTAACACTTTTCGTCCTCATCATGTTTCCCCAGTGCTAGCCCAAATACTCTGGAGTTTCTGATTTCAGACACTATAAACTGTCAGGGCTCTTTTAAAAAACCTTTTTTGTGGGGAGTACTGGGGATTAAACCCAGGACCTTCTCACTGATTTATATTCCCAGGTTTTTAATTGTTTTAGAGTCTCATTAATTTGCAGACGTACCCAAACTGGGCTCACATTTGCACCCCTACTGCCTCAGCCTCCCAGAGTGCTGAGATTACAGGTATGTGCCTCTATGCCCAGCAAAATAATTCTCATTTTCTATAAAAAGTAGGACATGCATGAGGCCCTGAGTTCAGTCACCAGCACAACAAAATAAAGTAAAGAATAATGGTTAAACAAACTCTTTTAGCCTTGAATGTACTGAACTTTTAAGAGCTTTTGTTTATGAAACTGTAAATTACTTCAACTGTGCCCTTGGAAGATTCACCTACTTGAAAATGCATGTGAAAATTATATTCCTAGTTCCTATTCAGTGGCGCATATTAATCCAACCACTAACATTTGAAGAGCAGTGAACTCTTAAGCTTCAAAGGCAATGCCAAGAAAGCAACCTTTGTGGAAACTCACTAGTTCATTTGAGTGTCACAGATTAGCTCCTCCCACAGTTCAGAAAGTTACCGATCCTTTTGTTGTCCTGTTTTCCTGCTTTTAAGGTAAGTTAAATTGGGTTTCACAAGGAAGAAGTAATAGAAGCGTGAGAGTGACCTCACCATAGGAAAGGCTCCTATGCAACAGGAGCTAACCCAAAGCAGTATACTAATGGTAATGGTGCTGGGAACTTCTCCCAGTGCTACATCAATTTCTATGGAAAATACCATCTGACTCCAGCAGTTCTAGTGGTGCAAGAGTCTGCTGAAGCATTTCAGAACAAAAGTCAAAAGCCAATCCTAATGATTCTCAAGCATCCTCCAACTCCTTGGACTAGAAAGGCCCTGATTGACGGAAGGATTTAAGGAAAGCTTTCCCTCAGAAAGGCTTCTATCAAGAAATTAATATTTTAACTTGAATAAAGGGTTTCACTGAATGTCCCCACAGTGATAAAAATCATAGTAAAGTTGCCTATTAAACTGAATAAGTAAGGTCTGTATTTGTGAGTTATCTATCTGACCTGGATTTCATGTGACCTAGATATCACAAATTATATTCACCTCAAGGTACTGGTTTTGTTCAAGCCTCCATATCCAAGTCCTTCTCTCATTCTGAAAGTCCTGGATCCTTTCCCCTGTCTTACTCCTGGGAACCCCTCCTAAAGAATGCCCACACATCTGTGCTCACAAGAGCCGTTGCTCAAAGTGCCTCCTGTCCTTGCTGCTGCTGCTGCTGATGATGATGATGATTTTGTCTGTAATGAATATACCAAAGGCCATACCTTGTTTTCATTTTCCTGTGTTCCCAAAACCACCATGCCCAGGGCAATAGTAGTACTGAGCCACCAGCAGAAGTGGAGACCATGACCCTCTTCCAATCTCAGTGTTGCTCTTCGCTTGGTCTTGAAGGTCCACCACGTAGTCCAGAGTCACAGAGCTCAGGCTTCAAGGGTTCTCAAGGGAGACTGGGGTGCCGTACCATCCCCTGTACTTCTCCATCTCCTCCATCTCTGCTCCCCTCCCTACTTTGTCAGCCACAACAAACATCAACTGATGCAAAGACAGACTTAGGGCTGAAATGGAAGCACACCAAAAGCATCTGGGTCCCACCCAAAAGGCAAGCTGAATAGAAGTTTGTGTTTCTATTCCAGAAACACTATCAAATACCTGGCACATAATAGGTGCTAAGAGTACTAAGGTGAATACAAGGCCCTGCTCAAAAGATCATCACAGTCTATTAGGAAACACATATGTTAAAAAACAAAAACAAACAAAAAAACTGACATTTAGTGATGGAGGCACAGTTCAGGCTAAAGGGAAACTCTAAGGAAGAAACAGTGAACACTGTCAGCAAGGGTATATTAGGGAAAGCTTCTCAGAGAAAGCGTGGACATGTGATTGAGAATGACTAGTTTATCAAGAACTCCCAGCAAGAGAAAATACTACAATGAAAAAGATGTGAAATAACATGCTGTATTTTTCGTACTAGAAGAATTCGGACCTTGGCCTTGCAGAAGATTAATTGTAAGGCAAGTAGCAGGTGGTAATACTGAACAAATTGTCAGTGGGTAAATTGTAAAGAACCTTACAAACCATGCTCAGGAGCATGTGGATTTTGTCCTGTGGACTATGGAAGTCGCTGAAGTGTTTACCCAGAACAGTTGATCAGATGTGCATTTCGGAGACATTTCTCTGCAATGCAGGCAACAGACTGGACAGCGAAGACTGAAGACACAGCAGAGACTGCGGCGGTGGTTCAGACCAAAGAGTGGTTGATTGCTGCTTTGCTTCATTGGAAAAGCATTTGCAGTGAGCAGGGGTCAGCTGAAACTGTGGGAGTGGAGAGGAGGAAGAGAAGGTAGGATAGCAAGTGAAACAAAAAGGATTTGGTGACCAACCTGGAGGTGAGGAAGAACAAGGCGGGATCTCTGTCTTAAAGACGTGGATGAGGAAGACTGAAACCACAGACAGAATCCCTCCAGACATTTTAAGCAAAGTATCTGTGGATGTCGATGCCCAGAGAGAAGTTAGAGATCAGAGTCAGCTTCTCAGAGGACAGACAAGCCCTGGGAAGGTATGTGGGAGTCATTAATGTTTCAGACAAGTAGAAGGACACACCCATTAGTCTAGTACTCTTTCGTCCAAGACTAGCCCTATCCATGCCTGTGGCCCAGAGTAATTACTAAAACTACCCCCTTTTCATTCATGAAAGCACCCCATCTTAAACAATAAGCTACTATATTGGTCACACTAGATATTTGTCATCATCCTTTGCTTAATCTGGTTGATTTTTTAAAATTAGTATTCTAAGTACACTATTCTTTATGCATTGTATTACCAAAAGTTCTTGCCACTTTTTATATCAGGTAAGTATAAAGAAAATTTGCCATTGAGATGAGTAAATGATTGATCCCCTGTAATGTAAGGCATCATTCATTTTATAGTTGTGAGGTAATTTTTTAAATTTCAACTTTTCTTAAAGCAAGGCACATCCATTTTGTCGTGTTCCCATACCATTATTTTCCTTCCATAAGCAAAGTTACAGAAAAAAATAAAACATTCAAATAAGATATCACTATATACTGTATGATATTCCATAATTTTGCAATCTAAAGTAATAAATGTCCCTCTTTGCTACAATTTGTGTCACTTATGTCTCTATATCCATTTACCTCCCTATCTCTATTCATCTGGATATCTCAGAGCGCCCTCTGGCGCTTGTTAGAAGACATTTTTCTTAGAGCTGTGACATCTTTGATCTTTCATTACTTCAAAGATTCAGCGTTAAAATAAGTTTTATGGTAAATAACAGGTCTTTCCTTTGAACGATAAAATCAGAGTAAAAAACGAGTCTTATGCTTTGCAAATATTCTATTTAAACAGGATCCAACACAAACTTATTAAAATTTTTTGAATATTTTATGTGTATGCCCATATTTAGCAGTGAAGAGAGACAAAGAATAAGCTTTATTTCACTTTATTTTATGCATCATCTAGTTTTTAAATGATCATAAATATTGCCTCTCTGGAGAGATTATAAAAAGCCCCAAGGGAGACTGAAATTGGGGGAAAAACACAGTGGTTCAGAAGATGGTGTCCATTCAGGGATTCCCCGTCTGCAAAGGGACTGATGACCGCTAACCTCTGCTTGGGTAGCCTCCCAACTCCAGCAGGACTGCTTTGTGTGGAAAGTACCACTGACCTGTCCAAAAAGAAGCTTCTAGTCATGTGTTTGCCATGACACCATTTCTGCATTCTCTTTCTGGACTATCATAGAGAGCTACTTGTTTAAACTATACTGGAAAAGTGAAAGCATTTCAGGTGACATCATGACAAAGTCATCTGGGTTGGTACTACATGAAAGCAGAGAGGTTTGGGACAGCCAGCTGCTTCCCTGTCTTGGGGAACCTCTGCCTTGTGAACCCACCAGCATTCTGCGGCAGACCATCCTGCAGCCACACAGCCATTGCAGCACTTTGCTACTGAGTTAAGCCAGAACAGTACCTGGCAGGCAAGTGAGCACTTACCAAATGCCAGACTGAAGGATTCCTGCTTTTGCTAAGTAGATGTAGGAATCAGTCTTTCTAGCGCAAAAGGAAGTGTAGACTTCCACCATGTTGTTCACACAGGGTGTATCCTGGCCTTGAATCGTGTCTGTGCTCTTAGATCAGCTCTATCCTTGACTACACACACACACACACACACACACACACACACACACACATGTACATCCACATGCATCCTTTCTTCAGAGTTGGGATTTAATTTTAACAAATACCACATGAATCAGCTGACACAGAAGTTCCCAAGTCAAAAGCATGGAATCAGCTCCTCAGAAAAGAACTCCGGTCACTCTGACAGAGCAGTTATTTGTACACAATGCCATCAACATTAGTGGGAATTTGGAATGAAGCTATGCAAACAGTGTTTAGCCCGGGGAGCATAACCCTTTCGGTCTCTATGGTAACTCAACTGCAGCAGCAGTGGGACCACCCAGAAACCATGGATGCAAGGAGCGTTTCAAGGTCTGCCTACTCTCATGATAATTTTCTCTTTGAAGCTTTAAGCTCTTCCATCAGCAAAGTGTCAAACTGACTAGTACACATGGGTCATTTCCCAGTCTGGCATGTAAAGATACTGTAAAAATTCAAAGGATAAACCGTATATGAAAGATTCTTGGATAGGGACGAACTGTGATTTATGGCAGAAGAACAGCATTGGGCTTTATGTAGCATTCTGAGACACTAAACTGATCCTCACATCATCATCTAAGATTTCTGGAGCCATTTTATATGTGATAGACCTTCACATGCTATGTTTATGTTTATGGGATGAATACATTGTACCCACCCACCCCTACGTGCACATGTACATTCCTTTCTCATGAATTTAACCCAGTGTTCATTTGAATTATTCGTAGGGAAATCAAGCCTCAAGAAAGGGGCAACTGGTTCATAAGGAAAGCGTGGATACCACTGGCCACGCAACCCACCTTGTAGAGCAAGCCCGCAATATGAGGGATAAAATCCAAGGTAAATATCCTCTTCTGGTTCCACTTAGCATCAAGAAAACATACACTTTATTACTACCAGTAAAAACAAGGGGCACTGCCAATGATTACTAGGTGCCAGGCATATGTTATTAAAGACTTTCATAAGGTTTTCATTTCAAGCTTGTTGATCTGAGATTTCTGAACACTAACTCCTACCTACTATCTACTGATACTGAAGGATAAGTATATACATCACTCCCTTTCAAGTGTTTTGCACAAGTTCAAAGTCAAAATACTTTTCTGGCAGAGGAAATAGCATTCTCTGGTGTCTCTAAAATGCAATAGCTGAGTAAAAGTCACCCATTTTTTCTCAGTTATTTGTGGAGGAAAAAAAAGTAACCTTTAGAATGGAAGTAAACTGATCCCAATCTTTCTAAGCTCTTTCTGTGGAGCTGTTTCCCAAGGACCAGACAGACTAGTTTTCAGGTCTCCAAACCAAGGAAGAGGGACTGTATGAGACTTTTTGCCCTGCAGTATCCTGATAGAATCAGCCTCTTGGAGGTTCAAATATTTGTACTCTAACTTCTAGTGCTGTATCTAGAAGACTATCTTAATATTTCACTGAGAGCTACCTGCAATTTTCTAGCAGAAAGAGATTGCATTTGTTTTAGAACTGAAAAACTTTCCCTAGTTTAGAGTCTGCTAGAATTTGGTATTTGCATATTGCTGTTATTTTTTATTATACCATACATTAATGGCTGGGCATCAATACCCAGTGCACCTCAAGGCACAATGACCACAAAGAGACCCACAGTGGGAGACTCATATTTAGGCTGAGGTATCAGTGGCATATTCCAGGCAAAAGGATATATGAAGCTAAGATTAATTGCTTACTATATTTCCTTTGGTGCCTGTAATATGCAATTTTAAAATGACGTGCTATTCATAAGGCCCCAGCCCCAACCCCATTACCTTAGGCTTTTGTATTTACTGAAAACATATTCCATTCCTGGCCAGGCACAGGTAGCACAGGCCTGTAATTCCAGCACTTGGGAGGCTGAGGCAGGAGGATTGTTGCAAGTTTAAGACCAGCCTGGGCTACAAAGTGAGCTCAAGGCCAGCCTGAACGGCATAGTGAGACCCTGTCTCAAAAAGACAAAAAAAAAAAACAACAACAACAAAAAAAAACTCCATTCCTGTAGCACTTTAGAGTTACTATTGATTTGTTCAAAGAGTAAGAATGAAGCTAAAAGATTAGATAACCTCATTCAATTAAGAAATAAATGCCCTTTTAGCCAGCAAATAAAGCCAGAAACTTAGCAAGCCATTCAGAGAAAATAATTCACTTCTGCTGTTTGGTAACCTGAAATGTTACTCTGAAGGGTTTCATTTGAAAAGTATTTGAACCATCTCACCCCTTAAGCATGGGGAAGGATGAAAAATACCAAATAAACAGAAGTGGGAAATGGTAAGTTTTATCAGATTTTAATGTCTTTAAGATAATGTATGAATAGTCTCCAAAGACCAAAGACAAAAATGTTATTGTCTACATTTTCTTTTTGTAATCTATTCTAGACATAGCTAAAATTCAACAGGCTGAAATTGTGAACATAAGATCTGCAAACAAGTGCCAAAAAATTTAGTGCTGCAAGTGCTAGAGCTGAGGAAAAATACCCAACTTAGTTTATTTCAAGGTTAATATTTCAAGCTTCATTTAACCCCTTCCTAGGTGGTTTTTTTTTTCCTTTGGCATATCTTAATTTCACTATAGTTCTCTCAGTAATATTTACAGCAGTAAAAATTCTCCACCATTTATCTCCCTTCCCTCAGAATTCAGGAATGCTGTACAATGCTAATGGTGAGTCATTCCTCATTCCCAGCCATCTCTGAAAGAGCTGCTGGTGACCTTCAAGCTATTAGGCATATAAAATACAACCCCTCTTCTGGGGTGATTTATGTGACACCAATATATTTGTTTACCCATCTTGTCTGGGTAACCACATAGATCATAGTAAGCCACAGACACACAATTTCATTTATGCCAGGAAGATAAAATGCTCCCCAGAGCTGCCATGGGACACAGGGCCTATTACGTACCTTTCTTCTGATCATATATGTGGGAATGAGGGAATTGGAGAACTACGCCAGCTACATGCAAATGTTAGAAAAGTTGCATAATCCCTCTGAGCCTCCCTAGTCCCTTCAGTCCTAAAATTCTGAGCTTTACTTATACAAGTATGGTTAAAAGACACAGAATCAAAATAACCCAGTCTTGACATGCAGTCACTGCAGAAGGAAAACAGCAATTGAAAAAAAAAATTCTTACAAAGCAAACAGTCACACTGTCCTATAACAAGTCCTAATTTTATCATCTAGTCTTTATAACAATCTGAAAGGCTCATTTGGGTAACTTATCAAAATATTCTCATTTTAGCTTAAGGCTTTGTTTTGTCAAATCCTTGAGTAAGATACAGTTAATACCTCCACTGCATCCCACATATGACAGGAGAGACCTCCAAATATTTTCTGCAAGTTGGTGTCTCTATAAAACATTGATCTGAGGTCGTGGGTTTTTGTGCCTAAGTATAAGCATTTTCAAATCACTGGAAACCAGACGAGGAGGAAGCAGAGTAGGGTTTCCACTGTGAAGATGCCTCAGATCCTCCTCCTCCTCCTCCTTAGAGCTCGTGCTGAGCTCTGAGGCTGACGGCGTGTTCACAGCATAGTGCTGGCACTGTCCTGCACTGGTCTCTCTCCTCTTACGCTCAGCTTGCGCTCTCTCACCACCCTCACTCCCCTGTGTCTCAGTGCCATCCTCTCTACCTGCTGTCTGTTTCACTGTGTCCCTCCTTTCAGAGATCAACAACAAGATGCTCTATTATGGGGAGGAGCAGGAACTTGACCCCGAGGAAATCACAGAGAAGCTGGTGCTGGCGCAGAAGATGCTGGAGGAGATTCGACACCGTCCACCATTCCTCACCCAGCGGGAGCTCGTGGACGCAGAAGCGGATGAGGCCCACGAACGTAGGTGTCTTCAGCTCCTGGCTGATGCCTCTGTGCTCACATCTGCTTTCTTTGTGGGTCCCAGAGAGGACACGCAGGCTTGGCACTTGTGATCAAGCAACCAGGTCTTGGTGTTCAGAGCTAGGTAGATTTACCGTGGCCTCCAGGAATCATTCAAGGGAACTTACTGTATTACCAAGATTTTTACATCTGGCCCCAACTTTGAGCCATTCAGAAGCAGCTAATATTTCACAAGGGATCTACAAAGTTTTTAGTTCCGTGGGAAAAATTGGGATTTAGCAGTTGGCAAGAACTTATAAAACGGGAAGGAAATTAAGGAATACCAATTCCCACAACTGCAGTAAGAGAATGGTTCCTGAAAAAGGCAGAAATGCTACACAGTCAGCAACATTGGCTTTAATAACTTTTAGCCTCTAACAGAAGTTTAACATTTCCATTAGTGACAAATACGGACACCAAACCACAATAGTAACATTGAAGCTATGACTTGGTCACTGTATCAGTTATCAATTACTACCAATCCACCTCAAACACACTCATTTGAAAAAAATATCTATTTGCTCATGGTCTCATAGGGTGACAATTTGAGCTGGACTCAACCTAGGTATCCCATCTCTGCTGCACGAAGCACGAGCCAAGTTCACTCATGTGTCTGGAGCTTGCTAAGAAGGCTGGGTATCTGCCCTGTAGGATGCCAGCTCAGGCTTTTCCACATGGCAAGGCAGCCTCCCAAGAGGACAAGAATGTGTCGCATCTGGGGGACAAGCGCTGCTGCTCCATTGCCTGAGCAGTCCACCAGTAACTCAGCCCCAGTAATAAATTAGAGGCACAAGTTTAACGAACAGAAGACACTTTATTTGTAAAGAGGAAAAGGAGGAGAAAGGAGAAGGTAGATAGCTACCCTCATAAGAAAGGATCAGGCTAGGGGGCCCTGGAAAGATAGAAGACCCATAGGCCCTTTGTTCATAGCTGTTTTGATAGCAGGGGGCAATCAGCGACTCTTCCCTCCTGCCCAAAGCTTGTCATACCCAGATTAGCTTCCAGACATCTCTGCCTAACATCATTTTTTCTGGTGGTCTATGTGCAGCTATTTTCTTTGTCTGTTTATTTGTCTTTGTGTATCTTTTAAGGCCTTACGTTTACAGTGAGCAGCTAGTTGGCAAGTGGGTGCCTTATTCTTGGTTAGCTTAGAGTTAGTAAGGGGGCGTGTGGATACCTATTGTATTTTACAATGACTCTAGAGTGAATAACATAGTGACTGTAGCATGAAAACGCATATATGGAAATGTATATGTCAGTGCACAGGTGTGAGTGCATACTGCCTTAAAGTCAGTCAAACCCCACTTTGCTTCCCCTGTAAGTTATTGGAGGTGGGGGCAGCTTGCCATTCGTGCACCTGGCTTTCTCTCTGTGTCCTGCTTGTCAGCTCTTTTTTTTGGGAGGGGGGCATTCTCGGTGCAAGTCTCAAGGCCTTTTGGTGCTTTTCTTTATCTGTTTGGGTTTTTTTTCTGTCTAGCCAAGATTGGCTAAAAGACCTAAGGAGGCTCCTATTTTATTTTCTCATCTACAGACCCCCGTCCCTACAAGTGGGAAGTGTAAGGTATCTCGAGGCCTCTGCTTGGAACTGCATGGTGTCACACCCATTCTTTTGGTTGAGATCAGCCCCGATTCAAGGGGCAGTGAGATAGGTTCCACTGTTGATGGGAAGAGTTGCAAAGAAATGGTTCATTTCAGTCCACACACCTGACAAAAGAAACCACTGACTCCATGTCATACTTCTGCTGCTGCTGACATCTCACAGCAGTGTTTCATTTTATCAGCAACTCAAAACTACAGTAGTTATTAGATGGGGGTCCATCTTTAGATCTTACTATTAAAGACGGATGTATTGTGCTGTTACCAATTTGCTTTTTATACATTGATAACCTTTTAAATTCCATTTATTTATGCAACTTAGACTATATTGCTAAGAAGGGGTCTGCAGCCTTCATTAGATTGCAAACGAAACAGTGGCATAAAAGGGTCAAAGGCCACTAGTCATTTTCCTACATCGTCCTCTCAGCTTCTTCCACAGTTGCTGTGGATACTGTAGAAGAACAACATTATGGTCACAAAGGTTTATTATGGTAACAAATACGTAAACGCTTAGCAACAGTGAGAAGCAAAGAAGAATCCCAGGTCACACTTCTGCGTCAGGATGAGAGCCACAGTCAGGAAAGGTGGAGCTCTCATGTCACAACCAGATGTGGCCAAGCTCCTCCTCTATTTGGTATATTAACAAGACTGCCCACTTAGCACTTTCCACATAGTGAATGCCTTTATAACTACTTTCCTTACTCAGCCAAGAACTTGTGTCTTCTCCTCACAGTGATAAAAGAAAATATAAATGTCAAACAAGATACACTGATGTTCCCTGAAGAAAAGTAGACTTAAAGCACACTGTCAACACACGTGCCCTTGAACAGAGCACAAAGGGCACACACAAAGTTTAAGGGGAGTGTATCACTGCCCTTTAATCTTTATTCCACCCAAATCACAACTTGGGTTTGACATTAGGAACTGAAAACAGTTGCCTGGAGAGAATATAGAACATAAGTGGTTATGAACATCATAACATTTTACCTTATAACTGACATGATGATTTTGATTACTTTAATAATAAAAACAATACTACATTCAAGTCCCCTTTACAGGATAAAAATTATCAATAACCTTGGTAATAATAACAGTGTAGTGAGGTGGTTTCCACATAAAACACAATCTCTATGGGAAAACTAATCAAACCCTTCTTTTAACCGATCTTAAATACAGGGATCTTAAATACAACAAAATAGCATTTTTATTTCCAGTGTAAAGTGTGAGGCTACTTTTGTAAACAATGGCTTCGATTCCCACGGTGGGAGAAGGTTTGGCGTGAGCATTTTGCAACTTTGCCAAATGCTGGAGGAAAGAGGAGACCTGAGAAGCCCGGACTGAGATTCTGTCTCTCTCTCCTGCCAGTGCTGAGCCAGGCTGAAAGCTGGCAGCGGCTGCACAATGATACTCGCTCTTTGTTTCCCGTCGTCCTGGAGCAGCTGGATGACTACACCGCGAAGCTGTCAGGCCTCCGGGAGTCACTTGACCAGGCCCTGGACCATGTCAGGGACACTGAAGACATGAACAGGGCCACGGCAGCCAGGCAGCGGGACCATGAGGTACGGTGGACTGTACCTGGAAATGTACATCAGATATAGATAGTGTGGTATTCCACCTAGAACTGGTGCAAAATAATATACCTAAATGCTCACATTTTTAAATATGACACATTTCTGTGTCTATCAATTGCTAACCCAGGAGTGTGTGCCTAAAATCCAGCTGAAATGTAGTAATTGTTTGGCTCTGGCTCTGACAAGAGTGCAGTTACTCCGGTGCTTGTGAGCATGTGTATGGATCTGTTGTTCTTGCAACTGGGTAAGTGATGCATTAGTCTCCCCTGCCTCAGTACTAGGGACTTCTTGCTTGTTTGTTTGTTCATTTGGAGACAGGATCTCACTCTATGGTCCAGCCTGGCCTTTCTAGAATGGCCTCGAATCCATGGTGATTCTTCTGCTTCAGCCTCCCAAGTCCTGAAGTACTCAGATCCTCAATCACACTAGGCAAGCCCTCCACCACATCCCCCCTTTTTATTTTTATTCAGAGATAGGGTTTCATTAACTTGCCCATACTGTCCTGGGATTACAAGCATATGCCACAATATCTAGCTGGTGCACTATTATTATCTATAACTTTTTAATATTGAGGGCACTAGAATACAAAATTCCACAGAATCACATGTTCTGAGTATGTATAACTTTTGGAAGGGCACATTACACATACTGTGTGTAATTTCTGGAAAGACATGCTGAACCAACCTCACAGCCTGGTCAGCAGCAGCAGAAGTATAAAAACTAATTGAAGACAAGGTCATGCAAACACAAAGAAGTAAAGAAAATTCCCAGACATCAAAATAGCTTGCAAATGCGATCATCCCGTAGGATGCTTACCCCAGAGAACTGGTGATCACATGTTCCACTACAGTGAGCACTTGTCCTCCCACCCACTGCCATAGGGGTCTTCTAAGAGGATGACACGTGAACATTTGGATATATTTATAAAGATTGCAATGAAAAAACAATGTGGACAAATAGGAAATAACTTTGAGAAAATTCATCAGTTCAGCTACCTATTTTATTGCCAACAACTCAACTTAAAGTAGGCTCTCTGTTCTAATTTGCAATCATCACTAACCCTCACTAAATCATTGCAAAATTTTCCAGAGAAAAGTGAATTTCACTGACCGCCATTGATTTCTAATAGGAGCGGACTTAGCCACAACTGTTCACAATCATGGTGATCACAATGGCATTCTTTCTAGTGCGTGAGTCTTACACAGCAGTCACTCAAGACAGTCACTCACCTTGTCCTTGAAACTCCCCGCTGTTACAGGCATTCGTCAACCACAGGCTACTCCCTGTTTCACCACCTAAACATGTTTAGCTCTCTTCCCTATTTCCCGCTCCTCTGCAGCATCTCTAGTTCTGGCCGTCATCACTTCTCAACCTGCAGCTTCCTCCTCTCTCTCCTCCTCCTGGCCCTGCCAGAGTGACCCATCTAATCAGTTCCTAGAGTGACTGTTTTACTTTCACTAAAAGCTTTCATTGTCTGCTTGCCACGTAGAGCAGTACTTTTGACAGCTTGTGGACCATTTAGTGGGTTATAAAATAAATTTGGAGGGTTGTAACCATCATTTAAAAAAAAAACAAAAGAAAGTGAAATACAACAGAAAATATTAAAGCACAACACAAACTGAAATATGGTTTCAGTGCACTTTTGCTATGAGTGTGTGCACTGGCTTGCAGCCTGTAAATATACGTCTCAGTGCGAGTCATGGATAACAACACTTAAAAGACACTGCGATCCCGACAGTCCGTGCCCGTCCAGTCAGCGTGCAGGACTCTGATCCTCACAGCCTCCTGAGCGTCTCCTCTTGTCTCCTCGCTTCACACATTCAGTTCAGGCGATTATCACCCAACCAGTAATCTTCCCGCCTGGAATGTAAATCGCTCATCCCTTTCTCCTCCCTTTTGGCTCCCCATTCGCGAAGTCTTTGCTCCCAAATTCAGTCCTCTGGGGAGCCGACCTTATAATCTGACCCAGTGATGCCTGGTGCATACAAAGTGTGATTTAAAAAAATACAGTGTGTGTTTAAACTTTTAAAAAATAAATAATAATAATAATAAATAATTTTAAAATTATTTTTAAAAATAATAATAAAAAACACTTTTAAAAAAAACACATTGCAGTCTGCGAGTGGTGGTGCATAACTGTAATCCCAGCACGTGAGAGGCTGAGGAAGAAGGATCCCTGCAAATTCAAGGCCAGCCTGGACTACATGGCAAGATCCTGTATCAAAAAACAAACAAACAAACAGACAACACCATACATTGCCATTAATCCCTGTCAAAGTCCTCCCCATTGCTTCAAACACACTTAGTTCATTGTCTTTGCCGCTTTCTGAATCAGTTGTGGAGGTCCTTTGTTCCTGAGTATCTTTAGTTGTGCTGTCATTGCTACTTCAGTGTCACAAATTGATTCAAAATGTTTATATTTCGTGGTCATCTTGACTTTGAGGAAGAGCCAGAAGTCATGCTGTGCCAGATTCAATCATTAGATGAAGGCACACTGCAATGTTTTCTGAGCCTGCCTTTTGGCCAGATGGCACTTAGAAGCATTTACTACATTTGTTGTGCAGACACAAGCAAGGACTTCCTAAACTGCTTCAGAAAATGTCAAGAATGATGGGATAGTGTGTTCAAAGTGAGGGGGAGAGTCTTGAGGGAGATTAATGGCAATGTACTTTTTACTGCAATAGATATTTTTATTTAAACATTCCTTGTATTTTCAATCACTCCTTCTAACTCTGTTTCTGTATTGTGATCATCTTTAAATAGATCTCTCTTCTCCACTATACCAGCATCTCCAAGATATTAGGGAATCCTGTGTTCCTCACCTTAGAGTCCTAAAACATCTATCACATTATCTGACACAAAGTAACAGCTCAGTGTATTGGTTTAATGAAAATAATTAAGGAACTTCCACGTGTACAATACTGTAATTTTGTCAGATTGCACTCAAGTTTATTGATGATTTCTCTTCAGTTCTAAGTGATAAGTGATCCTTCCTTCCTGAGACGTTTAAATCCATACCTCTATCCTATAAGATAATATTGTCTTCTTTCCAAGAACAGATTCAGAGCATTTAAGTAAGAGAAGAACCACATTGCAGAGTCATGCAGTCATTTCGGGGGTTCACAGATGAAGACTGCCCAAGTGTGTCCAGCAGTGAGAGCACTGGGGGGAGATCTGCCCAACAAACCAGTCCATGTTGGACAGGGCAAACAACAGAACACAAGAGACCACAGACATATTACTCCTTAACCTCAGGAAGTAAGATTTCATTACAGGGAGTGGGGAGCAACCCCTCTTATTACCAGTGCTGGAAAAGTGTACGTGGTTCCCATTTCAGACTGTGAGTTGTTGAGCTCAGCCAATTGCTTTGTCTTCTAAGGACTGTGCTAGACAGTGCAGGCAAGGATATTGCGTGTTAATGTGTTCACCTCTTTATTCATTTATTTTTAGGATGAGATCTTGTAGTTAAAAGTCCTTTGTAAAGCCCTTAAGGAAGAGTAATGCACAATGAACTGAGAATCAAATGGATATCCACAGGGACAGATCCCCTTGTTTTCTAATGATTGGTAAATCAGTGTGCATACCCGGGCACACTGAACTTTGTAAATGTAATAAGCAGTAAGTGGACAGTGTTGCCCATGCAAAGAGACTTTAGTTCTAAAAGTGAATACTATAGATTCAAAAATAATTTTTAATTAAATCCTTCTCATGCATAACTTTTTTTAAATCTCATGCATGTGGATACCAGGAATTTGGCATTTGAGTAATTCAAACAGATGGTAGGCCTCAATTTAGCTTTGCTTAAACAAACTCTTTTACTGAGTGCAAATGAACAGTGTGAGCAAGATTTCAGGAAGAGAACAGCGTAGCAGAGAGGCCTTTTAAAGCCCTTCTCAGTCTCAGCGTTCCTTTGTCTTAAATGCACTGCATGTGGCCTTAGGCAAAGTTCTACCCCTTTTGTCCTCATCTCCTCCCTCACTGACTTTACCCACCTCACCGCTGCAGTCAGTGGAAGGAATGCCTAGGTTGACATCCTTATGTGTAATTCAGCCCATAGCACAACTTGCACATTGGTGTCTGTCTGCAAGAGCAGCCATTGGCTATGCTCTACTGTCACCTGCTACAAATGAACTCTTTTTACATTTCTAACTTTTCCACTCCTCTTGAAGCATCTTTTCTCCCTTCTGAGTCACCAGGTCCTAAGTCCAACCTTCCTGCCCAGTTATTCTGTGAGCAGTGATTACCCCAGCCCTCTACATCTCCATGGGGGATCTTTCTGTCTGCTTCCTGCCAAGGCTCCAAGCTCCATCCTCTTCATAGCACTGCAGCATCAGATTCTAAAGCAACCTCTGTAGTTGTAAAGAAATGATGTGATAAAAAAAAAAACAACCTCCTTTGAAAGGGTTCCACAGCTTCTGACTTAAGAGGTGAATTTCCAGCCATCCATCACTGTTTCTTGACTCCCTTACAAAATCTCCCCCAGCCACTGGAGCCTGTGTGGGCTCTTCCTGTTCCCCTTATTCATGGTGTATACTGTGTTCAACTCCCTCATCTGCAGCTAATTCTGTGTAGCCTTTAAGCCAGCTTCAATGCTCCCTCTGTAGAGCACCTCACCTACTCTAGAATCCAACAGTTCTCACATTATTATCTTCTTATGTCCCTTTGAGAAGCCAGTGAAAACTAGGGAATGCACACACACACACACACACACACACACACACACACACACACACACACACACATCCTTTCCATGAAAAGTATGTTCATTTGTTCACATGGAGGTTGGCAGATAGTCCATCTCAGCCCCAGGTTAGAGCCTGAGCACAGGAGGAAGTCGCTCCCTCCTCTGTGCTGGCATAGCCATCAGTTGTGCCTTTGGAACAGTCACCAGACTTCATCACACGCAGCACATGTTCTCCTGTGTTCCAGTTTAGGAGGCACTGTTAATTGCTAAATGCATTACAGTGTGCTGTGCATCTAAGTCTACCCCTACTCGACTGCAAGCACACAAAGGTACAGTGCTCCAGCTTTGCATAGATTAGATCTTCCTAGCTCCTAACAGGATGCCTTGCACTTGGTACCTTTGTTGATAAAAAGATGGGTGGACAAGGTAACAGCATTCTCATGTAAGGCTGAAGTGATTTGAGTAGAAGGGTTATTCTGAAGTATGAACACTCTTTTCATAATTAAGTTGGACTTTCAAATAACTAAAGATAGCTATTCACCTTCTTTTGCTTACTTTTCCATACTTAAGTAGTGTGGAACTAATTTGTTTGAATAAAATTTTAAAGCTCAACCCTGCATTTACACAGTGGTCTTTCCTCAAATAAATTAATCTGAATAGATCTGACTTATTGGAATCTGATTTTGAGTTTCAGGAAACAATCTTAAGAGGTTTAATTTCACTTATTATTATTAATCCTATAGCATGTGTCACAAAAGAATAGCACCAAAATTTTAGTCTTTGTACAAAACTGAAAGTAACCCAGGAATTAAACATCTGATGGGACCAACAGTAGGTGCACAAATAACCATTACATTACTCATCATCCTACTCCTAAAGTGAAAGGGTAAGAGCATGAAAAAATCTTTATAAAATGAATATAAAGTGCCGCATTTGTAAGCAGGTAAACACTCTCTGAAAGGTACTGTTTAGGTGTCCTCACACACCAACGCTCTGCCTTTCCACACAGCTTCTGTCTCTTTAGCATCGGGGAGATTTTTTTTCTTTTCTGATGTGACGTGGATGCTGAAACGATGCAAATTACGTTGTTTTCATAATTATTAGTTTTTGAAACTTTTTTTTGTTCAAGTAGACCGCTTTTCTGTGAAAACATCTTTTGTGTTTCAAAGTTGACTTTACTCCCCTTCCTCTAATACAGTATGTGGTCAGTGGAACAAATCCTTTAGCCCAAAGTGCACTATTTCCCCATGACTACAAATACGCTGGTCACGCAATGCCTTTAGCACACAGCTTTGAGGTTTGACTTCGACTTCAGGGTGTTAGCGGTGTTCTCCTGTGTGGCTTCAGATACAAGTTACTGAAATCGTCATAGCTCAGACCTTCTAAAAGTAAAACAGCCCTGGTGAGAGGCAAATAATACCAATCCTTTTCATCTTCCTTCCTGTACATCCACAAACTGCACCCTTGCTTTGGTGTACAGCTGTACAATGACCTTTTCTTGTGGAGATCAGAATAATTTGCCTCAGATGATCACACTGTAATTAGGCATCTTGAGGGAACATTGATTTTTTTAATGGTCTTGTGTCAAGAAGATGTTTGAATGCAATTCTTTTCTGCCTCTCAACTCTCATTTCTCCCTGTAGCAATGTATTTGGAGAAGATTGGGTTCTGCTATTTCTTACCACTAAGTCAGGAAATACTAAAAATGGACATTAAGATGAACTTAGAAGGTTTAAACACATTTCCTTCTATGTCAAGTCTTCTGTAATTATTTTTATGGTATCCTAAATTATACCAAAACCTGTATCTCAACTCTGTGTCTACAGTAACATCAACTCACTTTTTACTCAAGCTGTAAAAACATCATTTACTTTTCCATCCTAAGATTCACTTCATTTTGCTTTCAGGCTCTGAACTCATTTAAAGCTTCATATTTCCTCAGAATCATAACATCCCTGCCTCTAGAACCAAAAATAAGGGTAGAAATTAGAACATTCATCAAAAAATGTGTTAGCAATTTCCCCCCTCAGGAACTCTGAGCATCTAACCTAGGAACGCTGAGTAGTACAAAGCAAGATCACAAGTCTATGCTTTGAGACTTGGAGCCATTTTTAATTTTTAAAACATTGGGATGCTCTTCTGTAGACTTGTTCCTGTCCAAATGCACTATTTATGCCTGGTCCAAACTTAGCATGTGACGAATGTTTTTTAAATGAACTAATCTTCCAATTACTGCAAATACACAGCCTACCCTCAATTGTGTGTCTGGAGTCCCACCTTACATTACAGAGAAAAGAGTCGGATGCCCTCTCTAAAGTGCTAACTCTTTAAGATAATGATGCTCCAATTGGTCATCATAACTAATAGCTTCAAATCCCCCAACATGCGACTGTTGTTATCTCCATATTATAAATGAGAGAACTGAGTACCAGGTAGGTAGTGTTTGCCAAAGAGGCACACCAGAAAGTGATAGCACTGCCGTATGAATCAGGAATGCCTGAGTTCAGACAGTAGGTTGACATTCACCACTCTCCCTGATATTTTGTCAAACACACATTCTCTTCCCCTATCCCTTTCTCTTTGTTCCTGCAGAAACAACATGAGAGAGTAAGAGAGCAAGTGGAAGCTGTGAACACATCTCTGAGCACCTCTGCCAACTCTCTGACAGTGCCTCGTCTGATTCTTGTGGAACTTGATGATATAATAAAGGTAAAGGTGTATCTGACTGGTTTGAGATTGTATTTATGACAGGGTAGAACAGTGGCTCAATGTCACAAAAGAATAATCCAATTCAAATCTATCATGTTAGCAGTCATAAAAATTAGCTGGGGGTAGTGGTGCACAGCTATAATCCCAGCACTTTGGAAGGCTGAGGCAAGAGGATCATAAGTTTAAGCCCAGCCTGGACAACTTAGTGAGACCCTCCCTCAAAATTAAAAATAAAAAAAGGGCTGGGGAAATAGTTCAGTGTAAAGACCCTGGGCCCAGTCTCCAGTAGCAGATAATAACAATAATAATAATAATAATAATAAATAATAATGACAGAATCCAGTTTCTTGTACTATATAGTAGCTTCTAGCCACATTTGGCTACTTAAATTAAACTTCAAATTGCTACAGTTAAGGAACATTAGAAATTTGACTCTGTTGAATTAGCCACATTTCAAGGCCTCAGAAGTCATAAGTGGCCAGCAGCTGCAAAATTTTCAACAGCACAGATACCATCACAGACCTATCCTTTCACTCTACTCAAAAGTTGTATGTTTAATAAAGCTGGCATTTATAATGAATAAAAGTCACAGTTTCAAAGGCAGAAATTTTCCAATAATGTGCAGTGAACAAAATTATCATGAAATCACTCTGAGATTATCTTTGTAAAAGTACGAGATTAAAATCTTCCGATCACCATCTCGGTCTTTGACTGTTTCATCACCAAGCTCCCTGTCTGCTCCATCCCAACTCCAGGCACTGGGCTTCGTGACATAAAAATCCCCAGCAATGAGCCAACCACCTCTCTGACCTCCAGCTGCTTGCACTTCTCTCCAGCAAGCTTTCCTCCAGTCCACCTCTGTTCTCCCTCGTAGGGCAACACCCAGATCATGCCATCAAGAATTGTGACTCTCCAAAATCTGTCTCAATCCCTTCCCTGCCTGAGCACTGCCTCCTATCTCCCCCTGGAATGCCATTGCCAGCAATACTCTGGCTGCACTAAGGCTTCCCCACCTCATAACGGAACCATTTACCTCTGGTCTAGCCCTTCAAGACTTATTCTCTATGAAGTAGCAGAAACCTTATTTTAAAAAATGATAAGATTACACTATTTCTCCTATTGGTACCTCCAGTGACACTTAAAGGAAGAATTGTGCTCATTTTACCATGGTTGGCGAGGACCTAAGTGACGGGGCTCCCGTTCAGCCCTCTGACCTCGTGCCTGACCATGTTTCAAACTCACTACAGGCCAGCACCCTAAGCTCCTCTTAGTTTTCAAACACAGCATTCTTATTCCTACTTCAGGGCTTTTGTACCTGCTGTCCCCAGATCTTCCAATGGCAGTGTCCTTGTGACCATTTGATCCAAGTGGGCCCCTTACCCTTAATCACTCTCCTTCCCATTCTCCCTGCTGTGCTTTATTTGAAATGTCTTTCACTTTGGGGAATTAGAATGTCCCACTATTTGATGACTTGCTGATTATGTATATCTTCTTGCTAGGTTTCTTGAAAGCAGATATTGTGTTCTTATGCACACTGTCTCTTAAAAGAGAGCCTGGTATGCAGTAGATACGTGTTAAATGAATAAATGAGTAAAGGTGAAATGTCCATGGTATTGTTTTTGCTTATGTAATAAAACAATTTGTCAAGATATTGCTCCCCAGATGATGAACCAAATAACTAAGAGGCTTACTATCATCTCTATAAAATAAATCCTATGTACTAAGAATTGTGCTATGTTCTAGAAATACAAAAATAAATTAAACTCAGTTCCTGCTTGCATCATTTAATCTAGTGAGCAAAATAATCATGTGAAATGATTATGGCAACATGATACATGGATAATAGGAAAGTGTGGAAACCTTATAGGGGGCTTGAGATTCCCTGGAAGAAATACATGAAGGAAGGAATATTTGAGCTGAACTTAGGCTAAGTGGAATATTTCTGTAGAATCCACAGAAAAGAAACAGAGGTATTCTAGACAGGACAATTTTATGTACAAAGGTGCACTTGCCAGAAATAAATTATGCAGCATTAAAACAACAGTCAGACGAGACTGGCCCACGGGACGTAGTGGAGTGGAAGTGGTCAGAAATGATGAAATCAGTGTGGGGGAGGGGTCAGCTGATGAAGCCCTGAAGCCTGTTTAGTCCTTCAAATCAGTGGGCTTATTCTAAGGAGAGAAGTAACATGATCAAATGTGCTTATTATATCATCATTCCCTGAAAGAAGTGAGGAGTGGATTTCAAAACTGATAAACTGGCTCAGGCGGAGAATCAGATCACTGAAAGGCAAGGAAAAGGCTGGGAGTCCAGGCCCAAGGACATCAACTTTTAAGGTCTCTTTTCTGGTCAGGAGAAAAAAGAATCCAGGGATAGCCACAGAAGCCACAAAAGGAAAATTCTGAACCAAATCTCACCAAACAGAGGTAGAGACCAGGTTAAAAAAAATGCAACAGTGTCAAATGGAGCTGGCTTTTGAGTCAGGCATTGAGGCCCTCAGTAAGAGCCACTTCTGCAGAATGCACTGCATCAAAACCACAGAAGCATCTACAGGGCAATCTAGAGTCAAGAAATACATTTTGCATGTTTGTTTCTTTGTTTTTCCATGACACAGACTTGGGCATGTTTGTATCTAAGAAAAGCCAGTAGTTAGGGAGCAAGAGAAATAGAAACCTGCTTCATTGAGAAAATAGAACATCATGCCTTATACAGAAGACAAATAAAACAGGAAGGAAAGGTATGATGGACATAGCTATAAATCCATTTATAGGATCTGGGAATTGCTGAGGGATGGTGGCAAAGTGTTGAGAACATTTCTGTTTGTTGGTGTTGAAGTCTCTGAGAGGGCTACCGATAAATAGCACCCTTTTCATCACCCAACTTCTAAATAAGTTTGGAAAACAAATCAAATAGTAAATACAGAAACCAAAGATGTTGCCTTATTTCTGATGCAGCTAAGTCACAGACATGGCTTTAGGTCTCAGCTAAGAGGGATTGCTCATAGCTGAGTAAGTAGGCAGCTCCATCCATCCAGGCAGGCAATAATATGACACTTGCATCTGAAGGAACACAAGAAACAGACTTTCTTTTGACAGCTTGCTTCCAAAAAGAAGAGGGTGGAGTTTAGCAGACCCTGTACAATGAGTTATTCTTCCACAATTGGCCAAGTAAGTCACTCCCCTCATAAGGGCAAAGTGAGGAAAAGGATGGAGAGATGTGGACTTGCACAAATTGAGTTCCCTTCATAGGAAGGAAACATCAAGAGTGTGGAAGAAATGTTCCCCTCTATCAGTTAGTTTGTGACTTAAATGAAAAAGAAAATAAAGTGATCTGTTTAGAATCAGATAGGGGATGTGGTAAGAAAATATGATTGCCTTGGGTATAGTGATGGTGTTTATAATCATTATTTGGGTGAGCAGAGAGAAAGTGTCTTTTCAGTAGTGAGAGCTCAGTCAAGGCTGGAAGTCAAGGGTTTGTAGGACCATCCAGCTGCACAGCTGTGTGGTCTTCAGCCAGCATCTTCAGGCCTATGATTGGGCAGAGAACTGAGGGAGATTGTGTCACAGGTGACTTTCAGGAAAGGAGTCAGCCAAATGCAATGTAGCTGAGAACCAGGACGAGGTTGAGTGATGCCCATTGGATTTAGTAACTTGGGCATCATTAAGTGTTCTTCTTTGATGGGTAATGAGGTAGAACCAAGCTGGAACAGGTCAAAGGGCTGAATAAAAAGTGAAAACACTGAAATGACACACATAAACAACTTTTTTGAGAGAGACTTTGCTGTCAAAGGAATAGAAAAGTGGTACAGGAACAAAGAGTTGTGCAGACAATGAAGGGTTTTGTTGGGGTTGGTTTTCTTTTTGAATAGGGGAAGTCAGAGAATATCTGAATAATACAGAAGCAATCCGTAGAAAAGAAGGATTTGAAATTGCAGGTGAACTAGATAAATACCAACTTACAGTATTTGAGGCCTGAAATTGACTGCATAAGGAAGACTAAAGACTTTTTTTGGTGTTCTATTGGGAAATGTTTTTAAGTTCCTCCAAATTCAATTTGCTTAACATTTAATTTTTTCTTCTTTAGAATGCATCAGGAATTTATGCAGAAATAGATGGAGCTAAAAATGAACTACAAGGAAAACTGTCCAACCTAAGTAACCTCAATCACGATTTAGTTCAAGAAGCTGTTGACCATGCACACAATCTTCAACAAGAAGCTGATGAGCTGAGCAGGTAGTATGCTAGTGTCAGGAATGCAAATATCTATGTGGCCTGAATATGATATCTCTATTCAACTGTACTGGCCAGAGTTACTAGGACACAGTGGTTGCAGGTTGGTTAGGTTTAGGTTTACATTTTTGTTGATTTATTTGTTAGTTTCTCCGTCTTAGAGTCAATCATTTATTGCAGTTGTATTGGGGAGATCTTCTTTTTAAATGTTAAATTAGAGGCCTACATTCTGGGTGAGGATGGAGGTAAGCCTTGTTCCACAGTTATTAATAAGATGGCCTGAGCTATGTTGGTTCAAAGCAGTAAATCAGATCCTTTTGCAAGGTCTAATTCTACAATCATTACCTATTTATTTCATAGACAGCATTTGCTCTCCACACTAGCGTATCTTAAGTAGAGCCGGTTAGGGGTGGGCAACACAACTGACTTCTGGTAAATATTCGATTCTTTCTGTACTTCCCAGCAGGGACAATTTGATTTCAACACCTGTTAAGAGAAAATCAATTGACAATTTTCCTCACAGCATGTAGAAAGAGTCACACATCCCTTGGGCACTCAATTAATATTAATTGAAATGTACTAAAAGATTGGAATTGAATTTGTGACCCTGAAGTAATAGGTAAATAATGAGATCATTGTAGAAAAAGACTACAGATCTGGCAGTTAGAAACAAGTCTAGTAAAGATCATGAATAAAATAAAGACCAATATTAACTTCTGTTTAAAGCATACAGCAGCTTTTTATTCCTATTTGCCAAAATTGTCAAGCACCCTTCCAAATCTCCAAAAGGTCAAGAAAGAGAAAGAATGTCAAATCTTGGTGTGTGAGGTAACATTACAGTCAGCCCAGTGTCGTGCCCCTGGGAAAACTGCTTTAGAGGAAGCTAATAAAATGACTCGTAGAAAACGTTGTCTTGGGTAATAGACTGTATTAGTAGAGAAACACTTTTGCAACCCATTCCATAACTGTCTTTATATTCTCTTGTCATTTTAGTGATCATGTCCCACCTACGGGGATTCCAAAATGTACCTTCTCTAAATGCCCCTCTGCAAGAGTGTCCTAGTAGGATCCCAAGGAGGTGACCACATGCTTCACATGAAACGTGATCAGAAATATCCGTCTCCATGAAGTTACTTTCCTGTTTAGAATGTTTCCTATTGAACACAGTCATGGAAATACTGAAATTTGTAGACACCTCCCCTTCAAAATGAGAATCCACCTCAATATCTGTCTGGTATGCACAAGGAGTTGCATGTTAAGCTCAAAGACAGATATAAGTCATCAAGAAATTTTTATTTCAAAAGCATCTTTTAAACATTGATATAGTTCTAATTTTGTGCCTAATGACAAAAACAAAGTAGTAACATTTTTTTTTTCAATCTCTTTGGAATTTCTACCACTCTAGCCAGCAAAATCTTAAAGTATTAGTAAATATTTATAACATTTTTTTTCCTTTTATCCCTTTTCTTTTGAAGCTTTTCTTGTCCACCTTCCTTGAGTTTTACTCTCTGAGCCATTTCTAAGAAGGGAGTGTGAGGAAGGAGATGTTGTCAGCTTCTCCCTTTCCACAGAATTACTTTTACAGAGCAGGGCCGTGTTACGACGCATAGGAGTCTGATGTTGCCTTGATGGGTGCCTCTCTCAATAAAATAAACTCAAGCTATTTTGTGCTACATTGCTATAAAGACTAACAAAATTATCATCATTACCTTCATTTCTCTTTTCATTTAAAAAGTTAAAATGAAAACATTTTGTAGGAGGAGGTGACGCAGAGCCTGAGAGAGCTCTGGCAGGGCCTGGACCACAATGGAGGAGGCTGGGGAATGACTGACTCACCGCCGTAGGTCAGCTTGCTTGCAGACAGGTGGCCTTGTGGGTTCTGTGATGTTACATACTGACTGAGTCTCAGAGAACCTCCTGGAAGTTACTGAGGAATAACATGATAGGAATTTTCAGTATTTGGGACAGAAAAATAAGGAACTGTTGGATTTAAGACTGAATACATCAAGACAAAGGACAAAGGATGGGGTGTGAAAGTGGGGATAGAGTTTATATCACAGAGAAAGGCACAGTTTTCATCAGAATAAATTGTGTGGACTCACGTACAGTTTACAATTCCTATTTAGGAAATAGTTTAGCTATACTTATACACCCTGAAGTTTATTGGATGCGAGCTGCAGCATGCCAAGTATTCACATATTTTCTTCTGTCCTGCCTCACCCTGATTTGGGGGATAATCTGTTATTAGGTCCTATTCGGGAGCACACGGGTGCGTGATGAGTACTAAGTAACAGTTTGATGAACCTTACACAGGCCAGAGAGGCGCAAGGGCAGAGAAGTGGTGTGCAGGGCAGGGATGAGCATTGGCTGAGCTGGAGCTGAGTGCTTGGGGGCTGCAGCAGGGCCTCGGGAGGGAGACAAAGCTTAACAAACCAGGGTGTCCCCTGGCAGGCTCTACACTCTCTCAGAGCCCCAGCTTCCTTTACAGAAAGGGAGTAATGATGCCAATTTAGTTTCTGTTTTTTTAATGTGGTGCTATCCACCATGTAAATAAACTGTCACTGGAAGAGGTGCTGAGGGTTGTTTTCAAATCATTATTCCTATTTTTGGTGGCATGGAGCCAAAATGGGGTGAAGTGTTGGAGGCAGCACGGGCAGAGAAATGTACCCCTTGCAAGGCTGACTCTGCACAGCCTTGCAAGCCAGGTGACTGAATAACCACCAAGAGGCATCTGTGATCCCAGAAGTGTTAAAATCAAACCCGAAAATGGCTCCATTTCCCATGGAAGGAAGGAAAAATAACAATAAATTTGTTAATTAACAGGAATTTGCACAATTCAGATATGAATGGGTTAGTGCAGAAGGCTTTGGATGCATCAAATGTCTACGAAAACATTGTCAATTATGTCGGAGAAGCCAACGAAACAGCAGAATTGGCTTTGAATATAACTGATCGAATTTACGATGTGAGTATTCCAGTATTTTAAGGTTTTTTGTACATCGTCTCTTTCTGTTTTCGTTTTTTAAAAATTTTTAATTCATTTCTTGTGCTTCCAAAGTAAAATAAAAATGACATAAAGTGCTAAGGGACTAAGAAAACACCACTTTATGCCATGGAGGTGTTAGTTTGCAAGTTTTTAAAAATGTGCTGTACTGTAGTCCGCAAATGCTAATTCTTTTGACAACATTTTTTATTCCAAATCCCTAAGAAAATATATTTAAAACTAACGTCTACTGATACAGAAGGTGAGTGCATTCCAATTTTTTCACATGAAGTTGTTATTGTGTGGTTTCTATGTGACAAATACTTTGTTGAAGGCTTGGCCAGGGCACTGTTATAACTTTGCTGAATTTTTCCTGAGAAACATTTATCCTGAAAACATCAAAGACTTTGCTTTATTGTGTTCATATTTGACTTGACTTTAAAGTATGAAAATGAAACTGTATGAATTTTTCTTGGTACTTAACAGATAAACTATGTCATTTAAATCCTTAAACCATGAAAACCGAATGTCTTCTCTTGTCATTTTATTCTTTCTACCAAATTCCTTTGTAGGCTGTGAGTGGGATTGATACTCAAATCATTTACCACAAAGATGAAAGCGACCACCTTCTCAATCAAGCCAGAGAACTGGAAGCGAGGGCAGATTCTAGTAAATAACTTTACTTTCCTATCTTCCTTCTGATTTATACCCACTTCCCTCAAACATGTAGTCTGAGACTTCTAAAAGGCTTAAAGAGTAAATAATATTACCATTGACTACTACATCAATAGTTTCTATTTAGAATGAAGTTGCAAAAAAACCAAAGATTTGATATTTTAATATAAATTCAGATTTTAAAAATAGCTTCCAGGGGCTGGGGACTTAGCTCAGCGGCAAAAGCGCCTGCCTGGCAAGCGCAAGGTCGTGAGTTCGGTTCCCGGTACCGGAGAAAAACCAAAAAAAAATTAAAAAAAAAATAAAAATAGCTTCCATGAGGCTGGGGATTTAGCTCCGTGGCACAGTGCCTGCCTGGCAAGCGCAAGGTCGTAAGTTCAATTCCTGGTACCGGGAAAAAAATCCAAAAAAATAAAAATAGCTTCCATTTAGTAAAACTATATGGGAGCATAAATACTCAACATATGGCGAGTATTCATGATAATCGAATACTCTAGAAATGTATCACAAACAGAATAATATTTCATAGAAATCTACAAAAATATCAACTTTCAAGGGTGAAGGCCATGAAATATACTTAACACTAAAACAATGTCACTCATAATTAATCTTTCTCAAATGATTCAAAAGTCCCTTTAAAATTGTTACTATATAGGGTGGGCCATCGCTGTGACAGTCAGCTGGGATGACAGGGTACCAAAGAACCATCAGCTGAGGTGCATTCTCCAGTGGTTCATGTTTCACAGCTGACTGTTCTCAGGACAAGCCCAACAACCACGTGGGAGGAAGCATTTCCAAAGGCCTGGGTCTGCACCTGTCAATTAATGCAAGCACAGTCACGAGGGGATAGGAAAGGAAAACCATGTAAAATCACTTTTTGACTAGTAAACTCATTACTAAGGATTTTTAAGCATGTTATTCTGGTCAGAAATTCATTCTCTGACTTGAAACTACCACCAGAAAACAGAACCCAATTTTGAAACTGAAGACCTCATGCAATTTTATCAAAGCAATTGATCTGAAGTTTAACAGTCACTGTGCCACTGAGCTATATCCCTGGCCTATGATCTGAAGTCTAACCATAAATTTCTCTTGCAAAGAGTCACTTGATAAGAAAATAAAAACACTTTGATTATCACTTGTAGAATACTTAATTTCTACAAAGCAACTATTATTTTATGCTTGCTAGGAAAACATAGGTAATAAAAATGCCAAGAAGTTTCTCTACTGTAATTTATAAGTCTAATTGATTTAAAATATAAATCTAATCCCAAGGATACTTTTTGAAAAATAAATAAAATATTAGTAGTAGTAAAGAATGAAATTCTCAGCAGCAAAGTGTTTTTTAATTGTTGCCATATCTACATATTATCTTTGTTTCTTGTGTCATGAAGACTAGAATATACGAATCATTATGATGCAGTGATTCAAATATTTTATGTTCCTCAATGATTTATAATGTATTTGCTCAGTCCTATCTTTATTGAGTTATTGAACTTCATGAAAGCAACTTTTCTATTCTGGGAATGGCATCTCCCCAAAGTCTCATATTTTATGTATAATAAATCTCTGTGCACGAGCATCTTTGAACATCTTGCCGATCTGGTCACTTTCATGATCCTAAGTTCCAAACAAGAGTTTACAGAGATGGATTCAGAAGAGTGATCATCTTTGACCAATCATAGAGGTCCCAGGGAGCTGTTTTGGTGACCCGCCTGCCAGTTGTATTTTGTGTTCCCTTTGTAAAAAATTCATCAAGATGTGTACTCATAGTGTGCTGTTTTCTAGGTGAATATATTTGATATGTCAATTAAAATTTTACTGAAAAATTAGTGTTACATAACCAATCATTGCTGGTATAAATAGGTAAATGTCTTTTATATCAGCTCTATATTGGTTGTGGCACTGTGTTATTAGTCAGGCATTGCTATATGTCTCAAGGAAGTGATCTATCCTAAGTAACTCTCAGCCAGAGTTCCAAGTTTTCTGCAAATCTGTAGCTCCTGTTCTACGTGCCACTTTCCAGAATTGACGATCTATGTTCACAGTACTCAGGAGACCACAGATGATCCCACGGTACACATCAGAATTTTCCTTGTTGAAGTGGAGACTATTTCTAGACACTCTGAAGCCACGGGTCCTTTTTTCTGTTGCTTCTCCTCAGGCAGTGAGGAGGCAGTGGCTGACACCAGCAAGCGCGTGAGTGGGGCCCTTACAAGGAAGAGCGCCCTGAAACACAGATTAGATGACGCTGTTAAACGACTACAAGCAGCAGAGAGAGGTAAGGTTCACACAGAGAACTTAGAAATCTCAGCTGTTTATTCACTGGTATGTAAGTAAAACCTCTGAGGAAGGATTCAGTGACTCTTTAAATAGCAATCTATTTTATAAATGAATATTTTTTCTGATGACAAAAAAAAGACAGTTTTCATTATCCCAAATAGCAGATCTAAAAAAGTAGAAAGAAGAAATAAATATAAAAGCTGTGATCATACCGCTTAGAAATGAGCTTTAAATTTGAGAGCATTTTCTTCCATTCTTTTCCTTGGGGCACACTTGCTTGGCGAGAATGGGTATTTTTATGGGCTCATGCTATTTATACTACTTGCTAAGCTGCTTTCTTGTGGATGCCCTTGTTAACAATATGCCCTAATTTGGTTACTGGATTGCTCTGGCCCCAACTTTAAACAGCTTCCTTCTGTTATATGTCAAGTTATTCTTATCATGTAAGCAGGGAAACTAACGAGCTAAACAGACAAGAGTACTCATCTTGCCTAATCTGGGACTACAGTGATGTCTTAGGAAGATGTGATTGGAAGCAGATGCTTTCCTTGGCATAAAGTTGAGACACTACTGCTGGATGTGAGTGTTTTACTTAAAAAGAGCGAATCTAAGTACAGTACTGTAGTACACAAAACATCTGGCCAGGAGAGGGGTGGTGCTCTGAGAGCCTGGTCATCCGTGTCAGCAGAGCTACTGTTGATTGATGTTTACTGGGTCCTTGGAAATGTGCTGAATGTTCTACATACTTCGTCTCAGGGGAGTGAACGTCACTCTCCACTGAGAGGAGCCCTGAAGGCTGTCAGGGTTAGGGATCTTGTCAGCAGGTCTTGTTAGTCAGAAGCAGAGTAAGGATTCAAACCAACTTTTCTCAGAATCAAGATTGAATTAAATGTTTCCTTGCTTTAAAATTTTCAAGTTACAGCACTGAAATAATTTCTACTTATTTTAAGCAGAGAAGTAACACATAACCCTCACAGAAAAATAAAATGTGGGTAAGGAAAAAGAGAGAGAAAACCTCACCTACAATCTTACCACCTGGGCAAAATTTATTGTAAGCTTATATTGTTTTATTTTAAATACGTAATAATTTTAAATAAAAATGGGATTTTACTATTAAAACTTATTTTCTTCTTAAACTTATTTTTCTTATATAAAAGTAATTTCTTTATTAATTTACTTCTGTACTAAATATAGCATCATTTTTATAGCAAGTATCCCATATAAATATTTTTTCACAATAGAAAGTTTTTATGATGAATTTCAGAAACAAGCATAAGTTAAAAATCTCATATCCATTTTCTGTGGCTTTCTTACCAGATTTCTAGCCAGAGGAAATACTATCAGACTTTTTAAAATCTATCACTTAATTTGAAAATATTTTAAGTGCACTACTTTGTTTAAATGTGGCTACAGTCTTTCAAACTTATTAATACTATTTTTAAAAATACCATAATTAACATATATTTAAAGATCTTAGTTTTCCTTAGCATCCCAGAATTTGAGGTCTGCTTCATCCCAGCAATGAAATGGATGCTAATATTGTCCAGTAAATGTCCTGCAAAGTGAATGTCCTTGTGCTCTGTGTGAAGGTGATGTTCGGCAGCGCCTGGGTCAGTCCAAGCTGGTCGTCGAGCAAGCTAACCAGACCACAGTAGAAGTCCAACAGGTCACTGCCCCAATGGCGAACAATCTCACTAACTGGTCACAGAATCTTCAAAACTTTGACTCTTCTGCTTATAATACTGCAGTGGATTCTGCTAGAGATGCAGGTATCACTTACTGTTTAAATAATCGCTTTCCCACTTTTCCACCACTGGGACAAAATGCTACCTGACACCTATGACTTAAAGGAGGAAAGTTAGTTTGGCTCACAGTTGCAGAGAATTCAGTCCATGGTCAGCTGGCTCCAAGACAGAAACAGCATGGAATAAGAGCATGACAGAGGAAAGCTGCCCACCTCATAGCAGCCAGGAAGCAGAGAGAAAAGGGAAGAATCAGGCATCAAGATGTACATTCTAAATGCTCAACTCCAGTAACACACTGCTTCCCACCAGGCTCCATTGCCTAACAGCACACTTAGCTATGAACTGATGAATGGATAGATCCACTGCTGAGTATACCACTCCCTTTATCCAGTCATTCTCAGAAAGCCCTACTTCTGAACACATGGGATTTTGAAGAGGATCTTCTAGATCTAAACCGTAACAGAAACTTCATAATGCAGATCCAGTGAGAAAGTAACCATTAAACTCTACACTTTCAACAATAAGCAGTTTACTCCATTTGGGTTTTACATTGTAATATTACAGAAGTTAATATAGAAAAATTTTACTCAGTTCCTCTATCTACCTATAAGCCTGTATATACATACACATATGAAATGTACATGATTCCCATAAATAAATAGTAGATAGAAATAGTAGATTAGTAAAGAACCACAGTTTTTTTCTATGTGAAATAATAGCAGCAATTGTTTTTGTTAGTGCAAGATTGACCCATTGGGAAAGATTGAACAAATGTTAGAGTAAATGACCTTAGCAGTCCACTGTTTTGTCTTTAGGGAAAAGATTACTAAATGCCCTTGCTTTTGCTAAACAGCTTTGCTTTATTCTTACCTGAGGAAAGCTGATTATTGCCAGCAAATACTGAATAGGGCCAAATATAATGGCTTTCCAATAAGAGCAATGTGTTGGCCAATTTGAATATACAATTCTGCAGTGATAAAAATGAAAAAGTTCAATATTTTCCTAATTTAGTTACTCATAGAGATTCAGTCATAGAAAACTTGAAAAAGTCCTTTATTTCCATTCTCACATTGGTGTTATCTCCTCCTCAACTCTGCAGTGTCTATCAGTATCCTCACAAACCATGACTGAAACAGTTAGTCATCCTCCAAAATAGGTTTAGACTATATTCCCTCACTTATGTCTGAATTAAAAACAGCATTATGATCCAAATATGATTTGTCAGTAGAAATTCTGTCACAATTTACAAACGCTCAGTACCATAACAGGAAAATAACTCCTTTGTTCGTCTTCCAGTATATCTTCGTGGGTTGTGCCATGTAACCACTCACTTAATTGCTTTGAAATTTTTATTTTTAAAATGTTTATCTTCAGGATATTTAGCATTTACAGTTATTGAAGTATTGCCTCGGGAATACTTATGCAATCTGTGTTAAATTTCTTTTTCTCCTTTTCTCATCAGTCTTATCAAGTGACTCCAGTAAGCATTCAGAACTACCACTAATTAAAATTACTTCTAGCTACTGTGTTTTCCTCAAATAGCATTTTGTAATTTAAAACAAAATAATTGAAAGAGCATTTCATAATGTAAGAGACTTTATAACAGCTCTCATATAATATGGATTCCTTTTACTGAGAGAAATGAGGGTGAGGGGAGACCCTGTCTTAGGTACATTTCCATAATCAATATGTAATGTAATGCTTTAAATGTACTTTACTATCTTTAAAAGGCCACTGTGGTCAGTGATCCAAGCAGCAAGTATTTAGCTTCTTTCCTAAGAAGAGATATTTCCTGACTCACATTGACAGGTCTCCTCAATCTCAGTTTAATTTGGCTTTAGTAAGAGGCTTGATCTTGCCTAGGTGCTAATAATATTCAGTGACCCTGCTTTTTGGTTACTTTTCTTTCATTGCTGAGGCAAAATTAAGAATTAAGGAAGGAAAGGTTTATTTAGCTTATAGTTTGTGGAGGTTTCAGTCCATACTTGGCTGGCTCCAAGGCAGAGTGGCACATGGCAGAGGGCAACCGTTCATGGTGGCAGAAAACAGCAAAAGCAACAAGAGCAAAAAGGGAGGAGCAGCAAGAGCAAGACTCTTTTCCTCCTTGATAATTTATGCAAGCCACCCAACCCAGGGCGGGTGCAGCACTCACACCCATAATCCCAGTACTGGACCATGAATCAATCGTAAACTCTAGAGGCCCGCCCCATGACTACATGAGGCTTTGGGGGGACATCCAGACACAAACCATAACACCCCAGTTCCACCTTTAGGTAGGAGAGTACTCCCAAAATAGTCATTCTGTGGTCCAGTGATTCTTAGACATCAGTATGCGTTAGAATCCCCTGAAGGGCTTGTTAAACACAGATAGCTGGACCCCTCCCCCCGAAGTTCAGTAGGTTTGGAGTGGCTGAGAATTTGCATTTCCAGAAAGTTCCCAGGGAAGCTGATGCTGCTAGACTGAGGACCATGCTTTAAGAACCACTGTTTAGTCAATGGAATTTTGAAGAGTTATTCCTCTGTTTTGGGTTTCTCTCATTAAGCTATATGTACACTTATGGCTTGTGCTCTTTTCTTTGTGTATTTCATGTATTGTAAAGAAGTAAAAAGAAACTACATAACAAGCAGATCCGTTCCAGGCTGGGGGTGGAGCACAGCTGCACTAGGCTGGATCAAGGGGAATGTGTGCTATGCCCCAGATGCTCCCCTTTTTGCCATCCTTCAATTTCCCCTGAACACCAGAGCTTGCTTTATTCTTCAGAAAGCAACATAGGAGTTAAAAAATAATTTTTAAAAGTCATAGTCTGATCTGCTTATAGAATCACCCTTGTGTGGGTCCATGGGCCACAGCTGCCCACCCTCACACTGGCACAGCAGCCGCTCTTCTGGGTGCTTCCTGCTCTCCTCTCCGTAGCTCTGCCTGCCCTGGGACAGGAGCAGCAGCAGTGTGAAGTGTGTGGGTGTGTCCCGGAAAAAAACCTTCCCACTTCTGTTCACCCAGCAAAATTCCTTTACCTCAGTCATAGAAAGGCAAGCAGACCTGTACTTTGTGATTAAAAGAACATCTGCATGTTTGTCATTGATCCTGCCCTTAGAGAGCTGTACATTATAAGTGAGTGTGGTCCATATTCAATTTATAAATCAATATGTACTATAAATTCACAAAGAGATGGATTAAGCTTTGGGCTTTGTTATTAATTATATGAGATTAAAATATTTTCTTATAGTTCTGCCAGAGGTGATAATGTGTTTGTGGTCTCCTCACTTGATTCCTGCCATATTCTTTGCATTGAGACATGTACTCAAGTGATTAATTTTTGTTACTGCAGTAAGGAATCTGACCGAAGTTGTCCCCCAGCTCCTGGATCAACTTCGCACTGTTGAGCAGAAGCGGCCTGCAAGCAATGTGTCTGCCAGCATCCAGAGGATCCGGGAGCTCATTGCTCAGACCAGGAGCGTTGCTAGCAAGGTAACTGATGAAAGCAGTCATCAGAGAATGAAAATGCAAAGATAAAGCTGAGTTCCAACTCCCCAGGCAGCTTCCAGGGCCTGGAACTTTTACACTGCCTTATGCAACTTAGTAGTTCTTAGTCCCAGTGGCTCATTAGAATGACACAAGGAGCTTTGAAACATAGACCAATTCCCGGCTATCATCTCTAGTGACGTGTCAGGCTCTAGAGGAAAGGCTCAATGCCCATATTTAAAAAAAAAAAAAACTCCTAAATTATTCCAATATAGAGTCAGGATTAATAAGCACAAAATTAACCTAGTCAGCAAAGTTTATATAATAAAAGAAATCAAATAAGGCCCCAATAAAAAAGATTCAACTCAATTTAATATTATTATTCATTATTTTAACACTTGTGTTAGTGCAATTGCTGTATGGAATAAGCTTGCTCATCTGCCATACCTCTTCTAGAAATTCTCTAGCAGCATAGATTGTGTGACGCTTTTATTGACCACTCTGCTTAACTGAGGAATCACCTATAGTACCTGCTAAGTTGAAGAAACTCAATAAAGACCCTGTTCTGAAATACTTTCACAGAAGCAACCTAGTAACAAGATAACTAGAGCAGTGTTCCCGGGCACACACCTTGAGATAACAATTAACATTTTCAGTGTGGCAAAGGGGGGCTTGTTCCTGAACCTTGTTTTTTATTTATTTAGACATTGGCCTCTTCTTTTAACAGCCAAATTATATGGCTTTATTTTCTCAATTAAAGATTGGCCTGAACAGATTATTGGCCCTAATTACTGACAGCAAGAAAAGTAACCAGTCAGCTATTTTATAATGATGGAGGTTATTCTTTTTTTTTTTTTTTGGTTTTTCTCCGGTACTGGGAACCGAACTCAGGATGTTGCGCTTGCCAGGCAGGCGCTTTGCCGCTGAGCTAAATCCCCAGCCGCCGATGGAGGTTATTCTTGATAAATATACCCAACACTTAAATGATATGTGATAAATGGTCCCATGACACAAATTACTTTATTTGAATACCACAGTCTGTATTTCCAAAAAGATTTCTTTTAAAGGTACAGTAAGGAATAGATTTTAAAAGCTAGGTTGTTAAGAATGCTTTCCTGGAATATTATTTACATGGAGTGTAATTTTGAGATCTTCATTCCCTAAAGTCATATTTCTAAAGAGAGCCTGGGCCTTACCATTAGGAGCTCACTCACCTCTCCAAAGTGTGGTGTTTTCATGCATTCTGCTCAGACTCACAGTTTCTAAAAAAAGACTTCAGTCCCCCCCACCACTTGAATGTTTGTTAAGACGTATTGATCTCTACTCAACTGACAACACAGAACAGCTGTACTCCAGGCACTTGGGAACAGAATCCTGAGACAACTATCAACATCAGCCAAACCAATGTTAATTGATGTAAATACATCTAATTATCCAGAAAGACTAGTACAAATAACATGAGCATACAAAATTCATCTCTGCCTGAATTTTCTAAAAATCCCCCATGCATCCAATCAGTTCAGCATGTTGTATCAGGCCTCTTAGAAATGTGCTGAACCTGTGCTTTGTTGCGGTGCTTCCCTGAAAATCATTACAAGAAATGTCTTAAGGAACTTATCATTACAGTTATTATAATGACAAAGCCAGGGACTAAAAGCATTTCATAATTATCGCCTTATTTCACTCTCACAGAAAATTTATTGTCTTCATTTTACAGATGAGGAAACTGAAGCTAAGTGACTTGTTCATGGTTGCTAAGTGGGAAAGCCAGTTTTCAAAACTGCAAAGCTGTGTCTAGGTCTTTCCAACTGTACAGATGTGGTCAGGGATGTTGCCCACACTCTCCTCTTGCTCCTTTGATGGTGACCGCAGGGAGAAAAGTCTAGCTGTAGTAACTTCTAGGATTAGTTACAGTTCTCCTAAGTAATTTATTCTTATGTAACTATTAGGGGCCTTATAATCCTATGACTGATCCGGGTGTTCCTCCAGATTGCTTAATCTATTCAGCCCATGTGCATAAAGGAATTCATAGCCTTAGATCTATTTTGACATTCTTTTTTCTGCATTATTTTATGCCAATTTAAATTCAAGCTATTGTAATCTGCTTTAAATCCTTTATCCAATAAAGTAAGAAAATAAATAAAATGTAGAGATGCAGAGAGCTCAGAGGCCCTAACAGGGATGATGGGGGACCACTGGGAGGCACAGGAAAGCAGCTTTATCATTTTGTGCAAAGACTTTCAAAGGAACAATTCTGTGACTCCAGATCCAGGTCTCCATGATGTTCGATGGCCAGGCAGCCGTGGACGTGCACCCCAAAACCAGCCTGGACGACTTAAAGGCATTCACATCCCTGAGCCTGTACATGAAGCCTCCTGCAAAGCAGCCAGAACTGGCAGGGACAGCAGATCAGTTCATCCTGTACCTTGGAAGCAAAAACGTAAGACCTTGAGGTTTTAAAGGAGGGGATCATATTTAAAAAAAAAAAAAAGTTGCTTCTTCTCTGACCTAAAACAAAGATACTTAGGCAAAAGTCAAGACTCCCATTCTGGTAAACAATTCCCATTCTGATAAACAATCAAAATTCCCGTTCTTTTATCAAAAGATAAAAATCATTTTTAATGCCATGACTAACATAGTGATTTAAAGGCAAGGGATTTTCCACGTGGATTATTTCCAGGAGTGCTTCCTGCATCAGCATCACATCACTAACTTGAACAAGTCTGGGGGAAGCTATCAAAATACTTTGGGATGACAGCAGCTTCTGTGCTGCTGAATGCAAGGTGATCAGTGAAGTCTGGACACCTTATACACTGTATCCCTGTGTTAGTTTGGCAGGGCTAGCGCACTCCTGGCCACTGTCCCCTTCCCACAAGGCCATAGTTGTTCTCCCCCTTGTCTAGAACGCACTTAGGGTAAGCAGGGGTGGTTAGGGGAGACTGACACAGCCAGAGAGAGGCTGGTAAGTCAGAGCCGAAGCCCAGGGGAGCAGGAAATTTGGGTAGTAACTCAGGCCAGAAGCTCCTTGTATTCCAACTCTTTGATTGTTGATTGCGCTTTAAAGAAATGAAAAACAGGCAATATTTATTTATACGAATTTTATTTAAGTAACTTCTTGATATTTCAGGCCAAAAAAGAGTATATGGGTCTTGCAATAAAAAATGATAACCTGGTTTACATTTACAACTTGGGAACGAAGGATGTGGAGATCCCCCTTGACTCCAAGCCTGTCAGTTCCTGGCCGGCGCACTTCAGCATTGTCAAGATTGAGAGGTAAAATGGAGCCTCAGTCTACAGCTTATACGCACATCCCATGAGAAACATATTGAATACACTCACACACACTTCCTTGGATGCTATAAATAATATGGTCTTCCTTTATTCTTGCTCATTTTTCTTCCATTATTCCTATATTCCTTTCCAAACACCTTCATAGAAAAGACTAGAAAAAATGGCCATCACTTCTAAATTGTAATGTGATTATTTCATCTGTTTACCTGACCAACCCATAAGTTAATTCCGAAATGGAACATCTTGTCTCCTCTTCTCACTGATAGTTAATATTAGATAAATACTAATTTAATCTGACAAAACCAAATGACCAATTCGGTGATGAAGAAACATTAACATTTTGATGTTCAATAAGTATTTTCTACAATTTACAAGCTTAATCAAGAGTGAAAATCTTTTTTCTCCATAGGGTAGGGAAACACGGAAAGGTATTTTTGACAGTCCCAAGTCTAAGTAGCACCGCAGAGGAAAAGTTTATTAAAAAGGGGGAATTTGCAGGAGACGACTCCTTGTTGGATCTGGACCCCAAGGACACAGTGTTTTATGTTGGCGGGGTGCCTTCAGACTTCAAGGTAAGCTATCTAGATATATGTTGCTTTATTACAAATCTACATAAACACAAACATGTAATAATTTGGAGGAACCCTAATATCACCTAAGAGCTCAGCCTGGTGGAAAATAAAATTCTGCACAAGGATCTGTAAGTCTGCTAAATAAATCTAGTCTCTACTACCCATATTTTCATAGTATCAGATGCTTTCAAACTATAACTAACCCTGGAAGATCAATTACTTTCATTCATTTTTTTTCTATTATAACTTTTGCATTTTATTTACTCATTCAGGTTCTTACACTAGGGAGACAATACAGTGTATACACATGCAAGTCTGATTTATTTCACTTATGAGTATACCCTCTAGTTGCTTCCTTTACGTATAAAAGCCTCGAATCTCATGCCCCCCCAAAGACTCTTGCACATCCCTTTATGCAAAAGGCATTTAGTGCATCTGCATGAGTTGCCAAAGTCCTAATAGTTTCAGCATTGCTGAAAAGTCCAAGTCCCAAGTCTCCTCCAAGATGTATAGCAAACTCTTAGCTATGAGCCATTATACAAATGAAAAGTTAAACACTTCCAACATTCAGTGGCACAAAATAAACATTACCATTCCAAAAGGTACAAACGGGGATACAGAGCGTTGGGACCAAAGCAAGCCCAACATCCAGCAGGGCTAACATTATGTCCTGGAATTCCACACGCAGCATGTGAAGCAACTTGTAGCACATTGTGAGCTCCAAAGGGCTTGCACGAGTCTACCCCTGTGGCACTTCCAGTGGTTATAGCTACCACAGCTTCTCTCTTGGGCCCACTTTGCTCCCTCCTAGCAGCATTCCTCAGACAATCCACATTCCTGGCTTTTCCACACTTTTGAGGTCTCCACTGCACCTTTCACTTTATACTCACAGCTTCACATACTGCCCTCTCAGGGGTACACTACCCGGCCTCCCAGGCCTTCTTCTGAAATTTGGGTGGAAGCCTCCTTAACCTCAGAACTCTTGCATTCTGTATGCACCTAAAACCAGTGCCACATAGATGATGCCAAGGTCTGCTGCCACTTGGAGCAGTAGCCAAGCTTTCATTCTGCTATGTGCAAAGGTAATTAATAGTACCCACCTGTGTGGTAGTGACTGTCCCTTGTGATGTCACTACAGTTTGGATTCGGTCTTTAGCTTTAAACATGGCAGAGTCAAAGACTCAGTTATCTCAGCTACAGTAGGCAAGAAGTGAAGTGTCTGGGATGAGAAAGGGAGGGACCTCAGGGCAAACGTGACACTGATGAAGCATGGAGGAAGGAAAGACCCAAGAAGATTGTGAGTTGTCCAAAGTTTCCATTCCAGGACTGTTACATACTGGTTATGGGCACATTTCAGAACCTCTCTGGGAATTACTTTTCTTCTTTTTATATAAAGAAAACAAGAAAACCTACCTCACAAAGCTGGTGTGAAAATCAGTTTTTGTCAGTGTGTTTATTTTATTTTGTCAGATTATTTTCAAATCCTACCTTCTCTGCTACAGTATCTACAGCTGACAAATGTTTATCAGTACATATGTATAAATGTCAGTTGCTCATCTAAATGATTTGACATGAAGGAGACATAAGCCTTACATCACTGGACAGGTCCCCTTGATGTTCATTTCGCTTCATTGCTTCTTCTATGGTATCTGGTGAAACAGAATCATGGACAGGTGATTTATTTTTTCTGTCACACAGCTCCCTGCCAGTTTAAACCTGCCTGGCTATGTTGGCTGCCTGGAGTTGGCCACTTTGAACAACGATGTGATCAGCTTGTACAACTTTAAGCACATCTATAATATGGATCCTTCTAAGTCAGTGCCCTGTGCCAGGTAAGAGATGTACAAGATACGCAATACTTCGTTAGGCCAGAGCATCCGAGAGGACAAAGGTAACTCAATAGGCTGATTCTCAAATGTGGGCAGAACAGTAGAGATACTGAGAATAGTTATGCCTTCAAACAAGACTTCAGTTTTTCTTTACCATACATGAGCACACGCAAATACTAGAAATGTTAACCTGTTTGAAGTTTGACTTTGAGTTCCAGGGTAGACTGAGGTTTCCCTGTACATTTCAGCTGTGTTAGTACATAGAGAAGAGAAGAAGTTGATTAAAAGGAATGGATTTAGTTTACTCATAAACATTTTATTTCTTCCATACAAACAAGAAGAGTCAACTGTTGTGAAGTCCATAGAAGCTCTTAAAATTAGTTAAAAAGAGTCCAAAAACCATAACCTGAAAAGCATAACAAAATCGGACTGTTCACATGAGCCTGTGCTTCCATTGCAGAGACAAACTGGCCTTCACTCAGAGCCGAGCTGCCAGTTACTTCTTTGATGGCTCCAGTTATGCTGTGGTGAGGGACATCACCCGGAGAGGGAGATTTGGCCAGGTGACTCGCTTTGACATAGAAGTCCGAACGCCCGCTGACAATGGCCTTGTGCTCCTGATGGTCAATGGAGTAAGTGAAAATAAAGTCCTCCTTCCCCTTTATTTCCTTTCCTTTCTGTTATTTAAGTTTCCAGGAACTTTCTCAGGCTGAGTGTGCTGTGCCATCAAACTGAATTTCTACTTTAGAAAGCAAAGTTGGATTTTTTCTTTCTTTTGGAGGAGTTATGACAACAGTAAATAAAAAGCAGCCCTGAAATCCATTTCCCCTCACTTCCTTTTTAGATGTATATTAAGTATGCCCTTTCATAACTAAGAAAACTTTGAGAAAAATCAGCACCAGATCTAGGGTACAGTCTGCAGAAGTGTTATACCAGTTCCTTTCTAAATCATATGCCCCTATCAGTCAAAAAACCTTGCTCACTTCATATGTGGGTAGAAAGATAGATAATTACATAGTGATAGATAGAGATAGGTAAATAGATAGATAGATAGATAATACAAATGTACAGATATAGTTTATCAAACATCCAAAGTAATACTTTTAAAATACAATTTATAAAGATGAAATATTCAAAATAAAAATAGAATATTAATTTTATTTATGAATATACAGAACCATGTATGCTTTCACTAAAAATTATTTTAATAGCAATAATAATAAGAATAATATACTTGAATATACAGTGGATTTTTAAAAATTTTGTTAAATTTCTTGTAATACAGTGATTCAAAAGTCTCATCCTCAATTCAGTTTTATTTCAGCGCTAAGCCTTATTAGGTGTCATAACTGGATAGATACCTCACATAAATAAAAAATGTAAGACAGCATCATGAGCTGTGTCTACTAAATTATGTACAGTTTTTCAATCTCATACCCCATTTGGCAATGGTGATCTTTGAAATTTCACTGGTACATTTTCTTTTTCCTGATGTCACCTCATGCAAGCTAATAAGATCTTGTATCATCTTGTAAACATTAATAAAAGAGTTGAAAGCCATTGAAGATCTTCATCTGAAGGATTTTTAAACAGATTAGAAATATCTCCCCATGAAGTTTTGGTAGTGTGTGTACAAGAATATTTAACATTGCACAGTCTCTTTTAAAAACACCACTCTACAGTACACCTTTCTTCAAAAAATAAAAAGGAATTGAATTTCTAGTTTAGAAAGAAAAATCAGATTTCTCATTCACTGTCATAATAATTCCTTACCTTGATGTGACAGACCAAGTGTGTGCTTATTTTTTCAAATAGCTAGATTTAATACCACAGGAAGACCTTTGTTATTAAATTAAAGTAAACATAATTTATTAACAAAAAAGTATAATCTTCTTTAAATTTGATATCATTTTTAGTAATTTGCAGAAAGTAAAAAGGAAACTTCTGTGTATCTGAAAATATTTTTACCTCATTCTCCATAGCAATCCAAAATGACTGTAGATATTTTGTTATTTAAGTCAGATCAGCCAGAAATCCATTAACCAGGCACAGATAAACAGTGATAAGTTAAAATAAGCTAAAAGTAAGATTTGGACAAGGGACCACCTTGAACCTGTGAATTCTGTGAAAGTCTAACAAAAGAATTATAAAAAAGGTCCCTGATCAATATTGTACATATTAAATTTCAAAGATTAGTTTCATTCTGTATTTTCAATTTTTAAAGTAAGAATAAATCAAATTTGAAATGATTTCTTCCTACACGCTAGGGGATTGTTTCCTACATTTCCAGGAGTACACAAATTCCACTCAGGAAATCACTTGGAGTAGAATGGGGACTTTATCATAATACAAATTTTTCAAATTCATTGAATTGTTGTGCCTATAAAACATCTTCTGAAATACACAATCTGACCAGTAAATTACTTGAGAAGTATACAATTACTTTGGTTTTCAAATACCATGTGGCCCAACTAAATAATGACTTCATATTTGTTTAATAAATTCAGTGATTCAAAATAATACAGAAAAGACCCTCTTTAATAAAGAACTGACATTTTTGTCTTATATCCATATTTGCTGGTACCTTAGGGAAGATTATTTTCACCATACTTTAAAATTATTTTTCAGTGTTATCGATTTTCATCTTAAAACAAATGCAGTTGCATCTTTTGGCCTGTTATAGTTTTCAAAATTGCCTAAAGACAAGGCAGTTAAATCAACCTAGTGTATTGTACTGTTTTGAAGAATTTTCAAAGGTCAGTAAGGCAGACATATAACTTCATCCATCGACTTATAAATAGAATAACAGCAAAAGAAGGCAGGCATTTTACATTGTATATAAGTAAACCTTCATTTCGCTGTTTTGTCAAATTTTCACAGGAGTCACCTGGTACAATCGCAACTCCACACTTGAAAGTTTCAACGTGGCCTCTTGTTCCTTTCTTTACTTCTGCTATAAATTATTGCATCTTGTCTGTACCTAACATATTAGTATGTTAGGATATTACTATGAAAAATAACTGCCAATCAGAAAGTAGTTATCAGTTTTACTTCATAATAAAAATTTCAGGAGACTTTCTTAAGTCTTCAAATAATTTCAGTTAAAGGAATAGATCTTTATTTCTCAAATTAAGCTAAATACAGCTCTACTGCCATAATAGCAGCTCCTGCCTTACAACTTTTTTCTCTCTACAGAGCATGTTTTTCAGCCTGGAAATGCGCAGTGGTTACCTGCACGTGTTCTATGACTTTGGATTCAGCGGCGGCCCTGTGCATCTTGAAGACACATTGAAGAAAGCCCAAATTAATGATGCAAAATACCATGAGGTATGATTGTTGCAGTCTGGGTGGCTTGAGATTTTGTACTTAGATCTATTACTCTAAATAAGTGGTCAAATGAGATAGAATAGTGATCAAAATGGATACTTCCACTTCTAAAGAGCAACTGTACAGATCCTCACCTCTCAACCCCAGGAAAATATTTGTTTAAAAAAGGATGGATTATTTTTTTCTTATTGACATTTCTAATAAAAGCTTCACTGGACAATTCCTAATAATCACTCAACTGGCAAAAAAAGAAAAAACTACTGTTAATCTTAAATATCTTGATTACAATAGCACTCTTATAGAACCCTATACATTTTGAACATGTTGGAATCAAAGCCATTTATTCACTTATTCTTTGAAACACTCTAAATATAAAAGGAGTAGATACAAGTAAACACAAAATTTCCCTTAGATCAGTTATATAGAATTTAGAAAATACTAGTGTTCCTTATGAAGAGAACTCAAAAAGAATACTTTTTAGTCTTCAACAAGGTATGCACTCTGCTACAGATAGTATACCTCATCTATTTTCATTAACAATGATTTTGCTGTACAATTTAGAGGAATATGTGGAAGGTTTAACATCTTTTAAATCAAATCAAAATGCAAGAGGTGGAAAGCTATATTTCCCTTTTTAGCTCAGAATCCATAATCTTTATGAGGATGGGTTACAGGAAAGGAAGATGTTAACTATTTCTCTGACCAGCAGATCCATTCAAGTTGCTCACCATGTCATCAAAACATAGCACCCGGTAACTTGCAAACTAAAACCCAGACGGAGCCTGCTAACAGTACAATAGTGCCAAGATTTGGAGCTTAGGAGAAATGAAGAGTTGGTGTTCAATGGGTATAAAATTTTATTAATGCCAGAGAAATAAATTCTATAGATTTGCTGAAGAGCATAGCACCTATAGTTAACAGTAATTCAAAGGTAGGAGGTGGAGCTCAGTGGTAGAACACTTGCCTTGCATGTCTGAGACCCTCGGTTTGACCCCCAGCACCTCAAATATTTCTTAAGAGTAGATCTCATATTAAACCTTCCTAACACGTACACACACAATATGAAGTACACAAGGAAACTTCATATTGGGAAGGTTCACATGTCTCTTACCTGGATCACAGTGATGATATAATGGGTGCTTGTTTATGCCCAAAGTTTATATACCTTAAATATGTACAAGGCTTTGTGTATCAATTATACCTCAAACCGTTTTAAAAGAAGAAGAAAAAGGGACCTGTTCATGGTTTTTCTCAAATCCCCTTAGAAGAGTAGGAGAAAATGATGTGTCTGAGGGCAAAATTTTCTTTGGTCTGCTCCCTCTCCATGTAGGCATCTTTCCCTGGGAAATGCGAACTTCTGTTTGTGAAAACAAGAGTTTTCATGTCTGGTAATAAAAAAAGGAAAATTCAGTACACCTTTTGTGAAAAATAATGCACAAGGAGATGGAAAATCAAAATAATTAAGACATATAGACTTCAGAAAGCTAACTGCTAAGTAGTTGATCAAGATTTACTGTATTTCTCCCAGATCTCAATCATTTACCACAATGACAAGAAAATGATTTTAGTAGTTGACAGACGACATGTGAAGAGCATGGATAATGAAAAGATGAAAATACCTTTTACAGATATATATATTGGAGGAGCACCCCCAGAAATCTTGCAGTCCAGGTGAGATTTTTTATTACATGAGTGTTCCCAATGACGGACTCATTGGGAACACCCAATGAGTATTCAGTAGTCAACAGAGGTCTTCATATCAGGTTGAAGCATCCCCACTTGTGGCTCGGCTGTGTGTGCATAGGTGCAGGCAGACACGTACATGCACCCAGGCCCTCTGCAGCCAGTCTCATGGCCTCCTTAAATCAGCATTTCTTACATGTAATTTACAGTTTTCTTTAATTATATTTTCCTCTTAGAACATACTGTATTGTAATACTTCTCAATTAGAGAAAGATAAAACATGTATTGGGTGAAGACAAAACCACGTTGGGTCCCTTTACTTTTTTTTAGTATTAACTTGAACTTATTTTGAAGTTCCAGTAGCATCTGAGGGTATGCAGATTTTTAAATTTATCCAGGAAGCTGTGGATTATACACAAGTAAATATTATCCTAGTGTATTCAAAACTGCAGCTGTCCTTTTGCAATGAATTCACAGAAGCAGAGACCCTTTAAACTTAGAGATAGGGTTAAATAGCACATTTTCTCTTATATCAGAAGCCTAAAATAGGAAGGAAGGAAGGAAGGAAGGAAGGAAGGAAGGAAGGAAGGAAGGAAGGAA